AGGGACAACCTATGATACCTGCCCCCAGGCCTCAGACTAGGGCATGCTTTAATTGCAACCAACTGGGCCATTTCCAGAGAGATTGCCCTCACCCCAGAGTGCCTAGACAGCCGACCACTAGACCGTCTAATCCTGTGTTCGGCTATCCTATGTACCCCAATGCCCCTGCAGCCACATATGGTTGTTTTCCTCCACAGATACAAGCCCAGGCACATACTTCGTATTTCCCCTCTCAGGAATATGCCCAAGCCGTCTCCCAACCCTCTCCAGCTGATACCTGCAGCTATGCTCACCCTTCCCCTGATACTTATGATACAGATGATTACCAACCAGATGACTGTCCTGTACCCAGTCAACATCGCCCTAAATGCCAGCCTCATCAGGCCAGTCACTCCACCACAACCACACGTCACTACACTGACCCTGATCAATCTCATCTAGACCTTGTGCAATAGGTAACCGGCAAACCTGTGTCTAACACCCCTGTCATGGCAGTGTCTACAGGGGACAAAGGGGGGCCTCTTGCCACAGTTGTCCTACCCATTGAGGGTCATCCTACTACCTTTTTAGTTGACACAGGTGCAGCCCGAAGTGTTCTCAGAGAACAAGACCTGCCTGACCCATCTTGCTTATACGACACAGATGTCTCTTGTGTTGGTGTCCATGGCACCCCTAGAAAAAACCCATTAACTAAGCTCTTGCGGGTGGGTTCTGACATACGCTCACGCTTTGTTGTCTCTTCCACTTGTCCAATTAACCTTTTAGATGCTGATGTTCTGTCCCGTATTCAAGCCTCTCTTTCACTGCTGATGGCCAGGTCCAATTATTAACCCCCCTTTCTCGCAAAGATACTTCTGTCCTCTGCCCTTACTACTGCACATGGCATCCCCCACTGAGGAGGTAAGGGTCCCAGACGCCTCCAGTGCCCTGGATAGAGTCCCAGCTAAACTTTGGTCCACGGGTCCTGATGACATTGGATGCCTACAAGTCCCACCTGTGGTAGTTACACTAATAAAGGGAGCTAATCCACCACGACGACCACAATACCCACTGAAGCCTGCACAAGCCCTCGCCATCTCAAAGCAAGTTGAAAGTCTATTGGCAAAAGGTGCTCTGGTCCAGTGTGTTTCACAGTGTAACACCCCTCTATTTCCAGTAAAGAAGAAGACTGAAAAAGGCCAACCTGACCAATACCGTATGGTTCAAGACCTCCGCGCTGTTAATGATGTCACCAACCGGGACACTGCTGTTGTCCCTAATCCACATACACTGTTGTCACAAGTCCCCCTGACAGCTAAATTCTTCACTGTGGTTGATCTTGCAAACGCCTTTTTCAGTGTGCCCTTGGATCCCTCTTGCCAATATCTGTTCGCTTTCACCCATGATCACCAACAGTACACTTGGACTGTCATGCCTCAAGGTGCACAAACTTCCCCTACTCAATTCGGCAAAGCTATGTCAACTGTCTTAGAACCTTGGCAGAAGTCTCACCCTGACGTGGTCCTGCTCCAGTATGTGGATGATCTGCTCCTCTGTGCGGATGATCTTCCAACTGCTGAAGAAAATTCCAAAGATCTCCTTTGTTTCCTCGCTGAAGAAGGATGTAAAGCCTCCAGAACGAAACTTCAATGGTGGCGGCCCTCTGTGGTCTTCTTGGGACATTGCCTTTCCCACGGCACCCGTCACCTCACGAAGAACACAATACTTGCTATTACCAATCTCTCTCTCCCATCTACTCATCAAGCTCTTCATGCCTTCTTGGGCCTCATCACATACTGCAGGTCTTGGATCCCTGAGGCTTCTCAGCTCATGCAACCTCTCTATGATGCTTTGAAGACTGAACCATTTTCATTGTCTTTAACAGCTCGCTCCTGCTACTATGCCCTTCAAAGGGCCATCTCCTCTGCCCCAGCTTTGGGCCTACCTATCAGCAACCATTCAAACTTTTTGTTTCTGAAAAGATGGGCCATGCTTCAGGAGTCCTTACACAATCACATGGTTCCCGTCAACGCCCTATTGGTTATTTTTCATGCATGCTGGACCCCGTGGCTCGAGGCGGTCCTTCTTGTTTACGTGCTGTTTTTGCTGCCAGTGCACTGCTGGACAAAACTTATGACTTTGTTCTCGGACATAAACTCACTGTCCTTGCTCCCCATGATATCACGGCCATCCCGAATCAAGTCCAACCGAAACACCTCTCCTCCCAGAGACACCTCCGCCTTCAAACCTCCCTCCTCTTGCCTGATAACGTCACTCTACAAAGATGTTACTCTTTGAACCTGGCCACTCTTCTGCCACTTCCCAAGGGGGGAGTACCACAATACTGGTACAGTCTGGACATAAATCCTGATGTTCACATGGACCTTCAAGTGAAAAAGCCCATGGTGCCACATGACAAACAACCTGAGGGCTACTTACATTGTATCCTGTGGTTCAGGAATACCCCAGGTCCTGACCCATACTTTGAAGAAGAATTATTTAGCCTGGTGGAAATACGCATCACCCTGACAGACCTGTTCTGTGACTCCAGAGGAAATACTGGTATCTTGGTCTACCTGCCCATGGAGGTATCACATTTACACCACCACTGGGAGGTGGCAGTTCCTCATATCTCTTTCACCAAATCTCTCATGGAAAGAACTCGGCGCAATGGCCAAAACATGGAGCACCGCAACTCAAGAACAGCTCACATTGACGGGGGGTCACTAAAAGGACCATAAATTGCAAAACAGTTGGTTACCCTCGATATCACACAGAGATATGTGAAGACATCCCTCCTACAGAACAGGACCCGGATGCCCCTCATGACTGTTTTTAACAGATGAAAATGGAGACAACCCATCTCCCAACGGTGCACGACGCTGCTCTGACAGATCCTGAATTCACCCTGTTTGTGGATGGTTCTAGATTCGCCGACGTGCAGGGTCAATATCATACCGGATATGCTGTCACTACAGAAGACCGAGTGCTCCAAGCATCTTCACTTCCATCATCTAAGTCAGCACAAGAAGCGGAACTAATAGCCCTCACGGTAGCATGCAAGATGTCTGAAGGGAAGCGTGTTAATATTTACACAGACAAGGTATGCCCTGGACGTGGCACATGATTTTGGCTTAATCTGGAAAACCAGGGGGTTCCTTACAGCAACAGGTACCCCTGTGAAACATGGCACAGCTATCAATGAATTGATGGACGCTTTACTGTTTCCTGAAGAGGCGGCCATACTGAAGGTAAAGGCCCACAGGAGACTAAATTCAGAAGAAGCACATGACAACCACTTAGCCGACCAGGCCGCCAAGGAAGCGGCGCGCTAGTGTTGGGAAGTGGACAGAAGAGTGTCCGTCGAAAAGACTCCTATTTACACTATGCAGACCTTACCCACCGATCTCAAGCTCCTAAGAGAACAACAGGCCGCTGCCACCCCTCAGGAAAAACAAAGTTGGAAAGATAAAGGGGCAACCCTCCAGAATGCAGTATACACAATCAACCTCAAATTCTGTCTACCCAAGAGTATGTACCCAGCTGTCTAAGCATCTCATGAACTCTTTGATTGATAAATATTTTGAAGCTCCCGGAATCACCACTTTGACACAAAATTACTGCAGATCCTGTACTATATGCGCCAGATGTAATCCGGGAAAAATAATTAAAGCCGCACCAAACCATTTGGCCAAGCCGCAGTACCCTTTCCAAAGGATCCAAATTGATCATATCCAAATGCCAAAGAGTGGCCGGTATGAATATGCACTGGTCATAGTGGATATGTTTTCAGGATGGCCAGAAGCTTTTCCTGTCACTAATCTCACCGCGAAGACCACAGCAAAGCGCCTACTTACCGAAATCATCTGCAGAGATGGAGTTCCTGAGGTGATTGAAAGTGACCAGGGAACATCCTTTACCGCCTTACTAACCAAAGAAATCTGGGCTGCACTGGGGGTGACCCTTGCATTCCACACACCCTATCACCCACAGAGTAGTGGTAAGGTAGAACGCAGGAATGGCACCTTAAAAGCCAGAATGCTTAAGATGGCCCAAGAAACTAACCTACCCTGGCCAGAAAGTCTTCCCATAGCACTATTTAGTGTTAGGTACACTCCAAGAGGGAGATTTAGCTTATCCCCCTACGAGAGTTTATTTGGTACAGCACCCAGGTTAGGCTGTTACTTTCCTCAACAACTCCAAATTCAGTCAGATGCAATGGTAGATTATATAACTGCACTCTCTCATGCTTTGCCCAAAATCCATGCACAGGTGTTTTCTTCTATTCCAGATCCAGAATCAAATACAGGCACACATAAACTGCTTCCTGGTGACTGGGTTATGGTCAAGAAATTCCTGAGAAAGCACACTCTTGAGCCAAGGTTTGATGGTCCATTCCAAGTCCTATTGACCACATCTAACTCAGTAAAATTGTCTGGGCAGAATACCTGGATACACACTTCGCACTGTAAGAAAGTTCCTGATCCAGAGGAAGCAGATCCCGATAAACTGTGTCTATTTCTGCTGCTAGGCCTATTAAAGGCCCAACAAGTTGCTATTACCAAAGATAATCATGTTTACACATTCTGGTATAACTCTTCAAACAAGTAGCTACTTTTACCTTTGATTACTGTGATATTGTTCCTTGTACCTTTCCACAGTCACAATACTCAGCAATATACAAAGACATACCCAATAGAAAGGACTCATACATTTGTGTGACAGGTGACCATTGGGGACATCATTGTAGTACCTGGAAAGCAGCAGGTTGGAACATAGGCCGACCATGGGGCTACAGACCACAAAGCGCCTTCGATAAGGTGGACAGACATGGGAAACCCTTATTACACAGAATGACCTTACGTAAGCCAACATGAGTCAATGAAACTCACCTTAAACATAGAACATACCAGCCAAGGGGATGCTGGGGAGTACGTAATGGGAATGTATTGGAAAGGGGGTGGCTCATACAACAAGTTGGGGACCTTCTATTTACAAGACATGCTTACGTCACCTGACTGGGTAGACTCTACGCACATGACTATTGACCCTCTAAAACCACACATTAAAACCTTTAAAGACATGGTAGCCATTGCTAATCCCACGTTTGAAGACACTATGGCTGTGGAGACTGGGTTTTCAGATACTAACCTATGGCTTGAGTGCATGAGGTATAATGCTAATTCACACAATAAAACTGTTTTGTTTGTGGAGGGGCCAGACCCCATCTGGGTACAGTGCCCTTCAGTCTACCTTCAGATGTTGAAATATGTTTCCCAAGTCTCTTTGCACAGTCACCAACAAACTCATCTGTGTGTGAATCATGGAAAAAGGTATACCCAATAACCCAAGGGAATATCAAGCCACCTGATGGGATCACCGTGTACCCAGGTAACTACACTTGCCATACAACACACGGAACCACAGATAAATTTGTGGGTAAGTTCCCTTCTGGTACTACCTATCGAGAACCTCCCACTGCCCTATTAGTAATCATGTTAAGTCCATGGGAGACATTTATTGGCGGTGATGTGGTGACATGCAGATCAGATCTAAAATGACTGGCCTGTGATGGGGTGAATGCACTCTGACCAAAGCTATCATGCCCATACATATAATTTCTGATAACCACCAAGGCCCACTTGATTCCCCACACACGTACTTCAGGATAAAAAGTGAAACCCCTATCCAAGGTAGTTTCGACCCACACATATATATCGATGCCATAGGTGTACCAAGGGAGGTACCAAACGAGTTCAAGGCCAGAGATGAGGTTGCGACAGGATTCGAATCCTTGATCCCACTCATCACCGCTAACAAGAATGTTAATTGGATCAATTATATTTACTATAATTAGCAACCCTTTGTCAATTACACGAAAGATGCCCTCCAGGGCTTGGCAGAACAGTTACAGACTACCTCCCAAATGACATTTCAGAATCGAATGGCCTTAGACATGATCCTAGCAGAAAAGGGGGAGGTGTGTAAAATACTTCCCGACACTATGACATGCTGTACCTTCATTCCAGATAATACAGGCCCCAATGGTAAAGTAACCATGGCCATAGAGAAATTAGAAAGTCTCTCTGCCGAATTAAAGAAGAACTCAGGGATCTCCAATTCATGGGACAAATGGTTGGGATGGATGAGTGGATGGCAGAGAGTTCTCTTTCAAGTAAGTATGGCAGTTCTTACAGTAGTTGTTCTCCTCCTCTTCCTGGTTTGCTGCGTTATGCCCTGGGTGCAAAGGTATTTACAAAAGACTGTAGATCAGACCATTGACCGCACCACACCTACATCAAGATATTGACGATATAGACTGTGACACACCGCACACACCTCTTCAGTCCCACCACCTCAAAAGGACAACTACTTCCTTATAGGGATAGCATAGGGACAGCATCTGTCTCCACGGGTAGAACGCGGTCTTATGCAGGAGATGTAGTGGGTTAGCCACTACCGGATACCCGCGCAGTAAAGCGTTCGAGGCCCGTTCAGACAGATGAGCTGCAGCCAAGTAGGGACCTTATTAGGGTCAGTTAGTAGTTGTCTCTTTAGTAAATAATCATTTTAAGGTGGGACTGTTGTGGACAAAAATATTAACCCAATTCATATTAGTAAAATGCCTATTTACTCAGCATATCTACAATCAGCATTATTCAACTTTATATATGATTTACCTAAAATGGCCACTAGGGAGTTTCCCTTTGACATTGACTAACACCCTCACTAACAAGATGGCGCTGGAATCTGGGGGAGACCTCCAAGATACCAGTGACATCACACCCAATAGGAAGAGCACTAAATAAACCACTTAACACCTAACCAATTATTGATGTATTATTCCATGTTATCTCTCACAATGCATATGATGTAATTTTGCTTTATAAGGGGCATGCCGTCCCCTCAGAATAAACATTCCTCAATTTTTTCATTAACCCGAAACCTGTGTCTGGTGTGAATTACTTTAGGAGCATGCACGCACTACTGCTTTAATTTGGCCGCGGGCAGATACACAAGACAATCAATTAATTGATTCCACATCAATCATCATCATCATATGATATACCTGATTTAAGATCCAACTCCAATCAATCTTTGACATTCCAACTGATGGGACTATGCATCACATAATGTTTGGTCCTGTGGGAAATGCAGTCTACAGAACTTAGTTTGTCTGATTTTAGCATCCCTGTTAGTAAAAGTAAGTCAGCTTATAATATGTTAATGTTTTAATTACCCCGAGTCAGTCTTGAGGGAGAGAAGACACAATAGTCATGTTGATGATTCTGCAGGTTGCAATAAAATGACTGCATTGCATTTTCAAGGAGAGTTTGAAACTATGAAGGTTGGAGAAATGTCTAATGCAGAGCATTCCACAGACAGGTAGCACTACAAAAGAGGTACCTGTCAAGGTGAGTGTACATTTTTATTTTACGCTGAGGGAAATCTGATTAAATATAGATAAGCGTGCACAGCGCATTATGGTGTGCACCCTATCTAAACTTTGCTTTAAAAATAAATAATACAAATGTAGATAAATGAGGTACAAAAACAGGTTTTGTTCTAATGATAACTAGGTGTAAATAGAGGTTTCTGTCCAAAACATAATAAGCTAATCCCCACTCATACAAACATCAGACATGCCAAGATAGGTGGCAGAAAGGGCAGTTTGGATGTTGCAATAGGGGGAGCCTAGGCACACCCTCTGTGCACGCATATGTTTGTGTGTGTATATATATATATATACACATATACACACACACACACACACATCCCCTTTCATTGTTTTTAAGAGAAATGATCCATTTGGATTCTTACTATGGTACCTACTGAACCCCTTTTCTATTTTGACATTCAATTTAATTTTAACTAACCCATTCCCTGATGCTGCAATTTCATAAACAATTTGGCCTGTGATAAATGTCCGAATTGCATTTACACATTCTGAGATATACTCCCCACTTAGCAATTTCTGAGATATACTCCCCACTTAGCAATTTAAAAAACATGTTGCGATAACCATAAATAAATCCTAGGGTGATTTTCTAAGAACATACATGTTTTATTCCACTTAACACACAACCATGGAATGAAAGATCCAATATTCTGTCAGTGAACATTCACAGGATATGAATGCTATGCTGTTTGCTAGCTGGTAACCAACATGTGGAGCCTGAAAAGCATGCGGCTTACTTTGCTGTGTAACTTCTGCAGGTAACTGAGAATTGTGTGAAATTCAAATTAAGACCACTATTGCCATAAATGAAAAATTCTCCAAGTCAGCTCATGCTTCCACTTTGACCTTAAGTTTGAATTTCACTGTGAATTCCTGGCAATTCTCTCATTACTGAATAACCCAGTTTGAATTCACTTTGTCCTTACAAAACTCACTTTAGTAAATAACACTATCTTTTATAATTGGCTTCCATTCATAGCTTAGTAAATACCCCCAGAAAGCTACAATTTTCTGACCACAATAAATGGTCCTCCCTTTACCCGAGGTGTTCTATTCGATACAATAACCGATATCACCCTCGGGCTATACAGCTCTAACTCCCCTATCAGAGCGCCAAAACCTCACTCCAACAGCTGCATGGAACACTGCAAGCACAAGTGGCGGGCGAAGGGGGAGTAAGGTTCTGTTTCCACGGCAACCAAACCTTGCCCTTTGAGTGGCATTCCCTTCCAGCCAATCGCAGCCTGAGAAAGCTCCACTACCAACATCATCACTGTCAACCCCGCCTTTCAAGTAGCGCTTCGCGGCAAAGACCTAAAAGAAAAAATAACCACCACACAGAATAGAGTGGGCGGACACCTTTCCAGGGATAGGATCTTGACAGGCGTGGTCTGTGGCCAATCCCCGCTCTCCTAGTGGTGGGAATGGACCAATGGGCTTGCCAGACGGGCGGAGTTGCACAGGTTTCCAAACGCTCGGCGGCGCCATGGGCTTGAGAGCTAAACGGAGATGGAATGTCCCAGTCTGAACCGGTTTCAGCCGGTTGCGAGTGTGTTGCACTAGAGCAGAAGAAGCGCCTGTTTGAGCCTCCCGACTCGCTGCGCCTCACAGCACGGGGACAGCATCTCCCACAGCCCAGCCCGAGCCACCGGGGAGCCCAGCCCTGTATGAACGTGCCCGGGCACTGCCTATAAGCCCACGGTCATTATTACTAGCCCCGTCCTGTCTCCTGTCAGTGTGTAGCGCTCACTCTCTGTGGGTGTGTGGATATAACAGAGCCCCCGGCCTGGGCCTTCCTCCTCCCCCCCCCATCCATTCATTGCTGACTGAACCCGGCCAAGGGCGGCTGGTCACACTGCCATCCTGTGTATACCACACTGTGCGCGGTGCGGACACCATACAGGCCGGAGCGCTGAGCGGGCTCTGTGTGTACTGACTGCCGGTCACTGCTGCTGCTGCTGGACTCTGTTACACCCTGAGGAGAAGGCGGCTCCAGATCTCGGTAAGTGGACTCGGCCACGCGTGGGATCTGTGGGGTGGGTGGCTCCCGGGCGCTGTGTGATTTAGGGGGGTGTGCTCCATGTGGGAGCTGTGAGGTGTGATCTCCATGGGGGAGGTAGGTGGCCGGCCCCTGGGTGCTGTGTGAGGGGAGGTAGGTGGCCGGCCCCTGGGTGCTGTGTGAGGGGAGGTAGGTGGCCGGCCCCTGGGTGCTGTGTGAGGGGAGGTAGGTGGCCGGCCCCTGGGTGCTGTGTGAGGGGAGGTAGGTGGCCGGCCCCTGGGTGCTGTGTGAGGGGAGGTAGGTGGCCGGCCCCTGGGTGCTGTGTGAGGGGAGGTAGGTGGCCGGCCCCTGGGTGCTGTGTGAGGGGAGGTAGGTGGCCGGCCCCTGGGTGCTGTGTGAGGGGAGGTAGGTGGCCGGCCCCTGGGTGCTGTGTGAGGGGAGGTAGGTGGGTGGCCCCTGGGTGCTGTGTGAGGGGAGGTAGGTGGCCGGCCCCTGGGTGCTGTGTGAGGGGAGGTAGGTGGCCGGCCCCTGGGTGCTGTGTGAGGGGAGGTAGGTGGCCGGCCCCTGGGTGCTGTGTGAGGGGAGGTAGGTGGCCGGCCCCTGGGTGCTGTGTGAGGGGAGGTAGGTGGCCGGCCCCTGGGTGCTGTGTGAGGGGAGGTAGGTGGCCGGCCCCTGGGTGCTGTGTGAGGGGAGGTAGGTGGCCGGCCCCTGGGTGCTGTGTGAGGGGAGGTAGGTGGGTGGCCCCTGGGTGCTGTGTGAGGGGAGGTAGGTGGCCGGCCCCTGGGTGCTGTGTGAGGGGAGGTGGGTGGCCGGCCCCTGGGTGCTGTGTGAGGGGAGGTAGGTGGCCGGCCCCTGGGTGCTGTGTGAGGGGAGGTAGGTGGCCGGCCCCTGGGTGCTGTGTGAGGGGAGGGGGAGCTGTGAGGTTGACCCCCCATGGCCAGGGGTGATGGTGTGCTGCTCCCCGCCCTGGATGTCACTGCGGCCCCTTTATGCTCACAATCCACGTGTCTGGCACCGCACGCGGGCTGTGTGTTGTTGTTGTTGTGGTGCTTTGTGTGTCGTTGTGTCCTGCAGCTCACACTGCTGGGGGTGTTGTCTGAGGCCCCTGAAGGGTCCTGGGTGATTTAAAATAATAATAATTAGATTTTGGATTTTTTTTTTTTTTATGTAACTGTTTTTTGAATGAAACGTTGTAGGTGCTAGGCCTCAGGCAGTCCGGGGTGTTTCCTGGGAGGGCCGGGAGGCGGCCAGGCCGGGCTCCTGGGTTCTCTCACGAGTTGTAGCTGGAGTGGAAATTTCCAGAAATGTTGTGTGTGGGGAAAGGTCCGCGAGCATCACGTGCTAGGCAGGGAGGGAGGGGCAGACAGAGGCGGCTGCTGCTGATCCTGACCCAGGCTCTGGGCCTTCACCTGCCTGGGACACCGAGCCTGCCTCTCCTGCCCGCTGCATGGCTGCTCCAGGGGGCACCGGGCCCCCCGGCTACCAGGCCATCACTGGGACTGCATGTAATTAACTTTATCATCATTGGTGTGTCGGTAAATAACTCCGGATTTATCACATGTCGATTTATAAGTCACAAGCCGTTAATGCTCCCCCTGTATTGATGGGGTTAATGCAGGCTAGTCACCTTGCTGGAGTGATGTGAGCAGGTAATACAGAAAGGTAGAGACATCCACAGGTGTTGCAGAACTGAAGTTGCATTTCCAGGCACAAGGTTTGACATTTGTAGATCTGTGTCTCTGTAGGGCCTATAACACACCCCTTAAACTATTGTTTTGCAACTGCATCCCTTATGTATCCCAACTCTCTGCTAGACCCGCTTCAGTCTGGTTTCCGTGCTAAGCACTCTGTGGAAACAGCACTGGCCAAAGTATCCAATGATCTATTCTCTGCAAAATCTCGGCCACTACTCCATCCTAATTCTCCTTGAACTTTCTGTGGCTTTTGACACTGTTAATCATCATCAGCAGCTTCTTCTCATCCTCTGCAATATCGGTCTACAAGATATTGCTCCTCCTAACTCTCCCAGTGCTCATTCAGTGTTCCTTTCTCTCGCTCTGCTTCTTCTACCCAACTCCTCTCTGTTGGTGTCCCTCAAGGTTTAGTCCCTGGTCCCCTACTGTTGTCTGTCTATACTACCTCCCTTGCTAAACTCATTAGCTCCTTTGGCTTCCAATATCATTTCTATGTGGATGACACACAAATCTACCTCTCCTCTCCTGATCTCTCCTCGTCCCTCTTGACTAGTGTTTCTGACTGCCTCTATTTCGAACTGGATGGCTGCCCACTTCCTAAACTTAACTTGACCAAAACTGAAATTCTGGTCTTTCCTCCCTCAAGTGTTACTCCTGTGTCTGTCTATCTCCAAGTCAACAGGGCTACCATCAGCTCCACCACTCAGGCTCACTGCCTAGGTGTTCTCTTTGACTCCGACCTCTCCTTCACGCCTCATGTTAAGTCTATAGCCAAATCCTGGCGCAACCAACCCTACTTAACACCAGGTGCGACTAAGGTGCTGGTCCATTCCATTGTCCTTTCTCGCCTTGACTACTGTAATCCGCTTCTGAGTGGTCTTACGTGCTACCAACTTGCGCCGTTACTGTCCATAATGAATGTGGCGGCAAGGCTCATCTTCTTGTCCTTCCACACCTACCCCTTTCTGTGAGACCCTACATTGGATCCATGTAAGATATAGGGCTCAATTTAAAATTCTTTTTTTTTTAATAAATATAATTCTCTACATAATGCTGCTCCCACCTATCTATCCTCTATCTAGGCCCTTGCGCTCTGCTGAAGACTTCTTCTGTCCCTACTCCCACCTCTGATGCTCGCCTTCAAGACTTTTTGAGGGCTGCACCGTTTCTGTGGAACTCCCTTCCCTCCTCCGTTAGTCTCTCACCCCGTCTCCACTCCTTAAAAAAAAAAAAACATTAAAAACCCACTTCTTCATAAAAGCGTATCAATTAAACTGTTAATAGCTCCTGACTGATTCCTGTCTTGCAACTGTCATCAGTCTAATACTATCCTTACCTTTTTGTGTCACTGTACCCCACTTTCTGTAGCATGTAAGCTCATTGAGTAGGGCCCTCAACCTCTCTGTTCCTGTGTGCCCAACTTGTCTGGTTACAACTACATGTTTGTCCACTGTAAAGCGCTGCAGAATTTGTTGGCGCTATATAAATAATGTAGCTATGTGTGCATCTATATAGACGTTTCCACTAGTTAGTGCCCTTCCTGCTGGAGTGTTGGGAGATCTAGCATAGGATTAAAATGTCTGTTTTAAAATCAGTTGAATATTTCCTTCCTTGGCTGGTAACGTGTAGAGTTCTTATATGACCTCTGTGTATGTGAATATGTGCACATGCTATAAGAAAACAGTATGTATATGTCCATTTCTTCTTTCAAGGAATGTTAACACTATGATATTGAACAAGTCTAGTTGATTGCAAGGTGTGTATTGGTGAAGAACACATTGTAGTGGTTATGGCGCTTGGTGTGTACCTTTTTAAAACATTGTTTTTTCTCAGGAGCCTGATCGGTCCATGTATGATGAGATGGCCATGCTTGATGATCCCTGATCCAATGCTTCTCATGGCGAGGGGGCATCACAATCCACCAGTTTATCATTTCTATTCTAGAAGTACTGAATCCAATACTTATCTGTGAGAAGCATTAGCTGTATCTTACCTTGTCATGCTGAATGTGAAGACATTAAAAAAATTGAAGGTGGAATCGCCTCTTGTCACGATCGGACAGCCACAGCGTGTTACATGCCAGTTATAAAAATAATATTGTAAAGCGCCGCAGAATAAGTTAGCGCTGTGTAAATGCCCAAAAATTCGAATATTTTCAGGAAAGGGTCAAGATACTTGCACAGTAAGATGTGGTAGTTTTTGTACTTGGTGTCCCTTTTTATAAACACTTAAAAGAACACTGAGCATAAAATGAAGCTTCATTATCGATATTTTATTTAGTGGTATCGTTTCTAGAGAAGTGATAGTCCTCCTTTGACATGTGTAGGTGTGTCTCATCATAACCTCACTCAACTTGTAAATACATATTTGCATAGTTTAATACGTGTGTATGTAAGTGAGTTTTATGTGGTTGTTATAATTAAACTAAGTGACTATGAAATTGCTCTGTAGTGAGTAGTTTCACCATAATTTAATTTTGCAGACTAGTTTGTTTTGTATGAAGGTTGGAGACCTTATACAAAATATATATATTTATTTAAAGTGTCCGCATTAAAAGTAGGATTCTCAGTTGGCAATTAGTCAATTTGGTTAGGTATCTGCATATCTCTCTAGTAAGGCTTAAAGTAAATTATATTTGCAACGCAGCTGTTAAGGTTAAATAGAAAAAAAGTGTGCCTTGGAAACTGGTTTAAAATTAACTAAGAAACACGGTTTTCCACAGCAGTTATATTCCAAGAAGTAAAACAAGCAACATTTGGTGTTGCTCTCCACTCCTAGTACTATAATTTCATTGCAGCCTTACCAGGATTTTCATTAGTCAGCAAGCATCTATTGCAAGAGGTGTGTATGAGTGAGGTATTTCTATAGCTCTTTAAAGGGTCACTATATGTACTTAGACCACTTCAGCTCGTTGAAGTGTTCTGGGTGCAGTGTCCCTGTACCCTTTAGTCCTTCAATGTTAATCATTTCAGTGTTTGAGAAACTGCAATGATTACATTGCAGGACTAAGACTGTCCAGTGGCTGTCAATCAGACAGCCAATAGAGGCACTTTCTGGTTGTTAAAGTGAAATTATAGTGCCAGTTACCTGGGTCCAGCGCTGATGTCCCTTGGCGCTGGATCTGGTCTGCCCTCACTCCTCTTCCACCATCAGCCGGCTGAGTAGAACTCTCTTTCCCTGCAAAGCCCTCAGATAGTTACAATGCCATTTTTAATTTAGCTGGGTTTTCATTTTACTTACTGGCAATGGCTCCCAAATACATTATATAGTTTTACACCATATGTCACAAAGATATGGTGTAGTCAGTGTAAAATTTTAAGGTTTTTGCTTACTTTCCCTCTGTTCCAGCGACAGTTTGTGGATGTTGCTCCTTATGTAATACCCACCTCCTGGCTGCCTTTAGCTCCACCCTAATTTGCTCTCCTTGAGTTGGATTATGGTCGGATTAGGGTTTGGATTGGGAAAAGGGTATACAGGCTTATCATTGAGTTCAAGAACAGGAGCAGAATACAAATATGTGGTGGTTTCAGTAGTGACAGGCGTGGTCTATGAAATTCCTCAAAATGAAAACGTGTGGAATAAAAACACACTAATTAGACCAGGATTGTGATAAAATGGTTAAATGAATAGTGTCATAATAATCTTAATTGCATATCTTGCAGGATGTACACTATAAATATTTATACTTTTGTCTAGCGGTGTAATCTCGGCATGCCAAGTTATGCAAAGCTTTAGAATTCAGTCCTTGCAGTATTTGTTTTATAACTTCGAAAAATGTAAATCCTAGACATATTGGGGATTCATTAACAATCAGGCCTAACTAGTGAATCTGTTTTGTTAGTTTCTTTTACTTGCACTGTGTGTTGAAATTATTGAATGCAAAACTAGAAGAAAAGTGTTTTTTTTTTTTTTTTTGTTAAACTTGCCTTTCTCCTATTCCCTCTTCTCCTCCCCTCTCAATCTTTTCTTAATTTCTGATCTAGTTTTCCTTGAAACTAGAAGGGACTACTTTGTCTTATGTATTTTGCCTACGCTTGCCTTTCTTTGACCTGAGGAGGAGCTTAAGTCTGTTCCATTTGCTGTGCCAGAGAAAATACTCGCCCTCCTGGTCAAAGAAAGTCAAGCGTAGGAAAAATGCATAACAAGACATAGAAACTAGTCACTACTTTGTCTTATGTTTGAAAGAAGATTAGAAAAGAACTGTTTCTGAGAGGAAGAGGAATGAAAAGGAGAAATTAAACAGAAAGGGAAATTGTTGTAGAATGAATGCATGACAAAAAGGCCTTGCTTGCACATTGCATCTCAAAAAGCCTTGGTCCTTAAGGGGGTATAGAAGACTTGTATATTTACTTTTTTTTTTTTTTTTTGTTGTAATTTACACACAGATTAGACCAAAAAAACCTGAAAATTGTTTTAAAGCAAACCAGTATGAATGTTATGAATGTTATGCATTGACAATATCAAAATCAGGTAGGAAAATAATCTATACATTGTGTCAGCAGATCTTTTTTTACTTTACTGAGAGGGTAGTGGAAGCATGGAATAGCTTTCCAGCTGAAGTGGTAGAGGTTAACACAGTGAAGGAGTTTAAGCATGTGTGGGATAGGCATGTTGCTATCCTAGCTATAAGATAAGGCCAGGGACAAATTTAAGTATTTAGGAAATTGGGCAGACTTGATGAGCTGAACAGTTCTTGTCTGCTGTCTTTTTTTTTTTTTTTTTTTTTAAATCTATCTGTCACAATTCGCGATTAGTAATATACTCTGCACCAAGGGCTTCAATTACAAGGCATTCGGTGGCTTATTCCAATGCCCAACATTGATTCACTATGTATACTACCACATACTTTATATCCTAGTAGATACCTCTGCCATTAAGCTTTTTGAATGTGTGGCCTTTAGGCTCACCCCACTCCAAAATATAACCTTTTGAACAGATTAAAGGAACACTTTAATAATTACACTTCTTTATAATGGTGGAATTTCTAAAATAAAGGGTTCATGTTGTCAGAGACAATAACAGATTATATTTACTCTGAAAATGTCAGTACATAAAGAAAAAATATCTATATATTAGAAACCTGAGAACTGAAAACCAGCACCAAACCCAGAAAGTTGTGGGAATCCGTTTCATTTTTAGACGATGTATAATTTACTATTAAAGGACCACTATAGCCACTTCAGATCAATGAAGTGGTCTGGGTGCCAGGTCCCCCAGGTTTTAACACTGCAGCTGTAAATATAGAAACCGCTGTGTTTACATTACAGGGTTAATCCAGCCTCTAGTGGCTGTCTTCCTGACAGCCGCTAGAGGCACTTCAGCGACGCTTAATGCGAAAATCGCATTGAGCACGCAGAAGGTCCATAGGAAAGCATTGAGTAATGCTTTCCTATGGGCGGCTTGAATGCGCATGCGGCTCTGGCCGCGCATTTGGCTCCACTCGTGAACTGACGTTGGGGGAGGAGAGGTCACCGGTGCTGGCTTATGTAAGTGGCTGAAGGGGTTTTAACCCCTTCAGTCCAGCGGGAGGGGGACCTTGATGGTTGGGGGGACCTGAGGACTATATATAGTGCCAGGAAAACAAGTTTGTTTTCCTGGCACTATAATGGTCCTTTAAGCTACATACCAGGGGTAGGGAAACTTTTGCACTTCAGATGTTGGACCGCATTATCCCTTCTTTGTCAGCATTATTGGAGATGTAGTCCACAACTGCAGGAGTGCTGAAGGTTGCCTACACTGGTTACAGAGACCTGGTAGTTTAAATTATATGCAGTAACCTTTCAACTGTAATTTGTTACAAAGTATAATGTGAAGATATTAAAGGGACACTATAGTCACCAAAACAACGTTTAGCTTAATGAAGCCGTTTTGGTGTACAAATCATGTCCCTGCGGTTTCACTGCTCAATTTTCTGCCATTTAGGCGTTAAATCACTTTGTTTATGAACCCTAGTCACCTCCCTGCCTGTGACTTGCACAGCATTCCTAAACACTTCCTGTAAAGTCATCTACAGTTTATCTTTCCATTCTGCTTAATTTAGATTTTCATATCCACTGCTATGTTAATAGCTTGCTAGACCCTGCAAGAGCCTCCTGTATGTGATTAAAGTTCAATTTACAGAGCAAGAGAACATTGTTGAAGGTAAATTACATCTGAATGAAAGTGAAACCATTTTTTTTTTTTTTTTTTTTTTTTTTTTCATTGCAGGCTGTGTCAATCAGAGCCAGGGGAGGTGTGGCTAGGGCTGTATAAACAGAAACAAAGTGATTTAACTCCTAAATGGCAGAGAATTGAGCAGTGAAACCTGAGAAGCCTATACTAAAACTGCTTCATTAAGCTAAAGTTGTTTAGGTGACTATAGTGTACCTTTAATGTAAAGACCTTAATATATTCACATTTAAAGGGTTAAACATCCTTGAATAATTTACCTGATTCCAGTGCCGAGGTCTCTTGGCGCTGGTTTTGTCTCCTCATTCTCAGAAGTTAGCGCCATGCAATGTTTACATTTGGCCAAACGTATTCCTCTAATGGCAGTCGGACAGCCACAAGAGGCGCTTCCAAATCCTTTGGCTTTTCAAAGGAATTCATTATTATTACTGCAATTTATATAGTGCCAACACATTCCGTAGCACTTTACAATATTATAAGAGCGGGATTTAGCTATAAATAGGACAATTAGAAGAAAACTTACAGGAATGATAGTTGAAGAGTGCCCTGCTCAAACAAGCTTACAGTCTATAGGAGGTGTGGTATAAGACACATTAGGACAGGAAATGGCAATCAATTAAGGTGGGAGTGAAGCAGAGCTGGAGGAGAGAGTAGAGTGCTCCCGCTTAGGAGAGGGCAAGATACAGGTATGGGAGGCCATAAGCTTTCCTAGATAGAGGTTTTTAAGGCACTTTTTAAACGATTGAAGACTAGGGGAGACTCTGATGGCGGTAGGCAGGCTATTCCATAGGAAGGGAGCCGTCCGCGAGAAGTCCTGAAATCGTGAGTTGGCCGTACGGGTGCGAGCAACAGACAGGAGAAGGTCACGGGCAGAGCGGAGAGACCGAGAAGGGGCATACCCTATGGATCATTGTAGAGATATGAGGGGCTAGAAATGTTCAGTGCTTTATAGGTATGGGCTAGCACTTTGAATTGACTCCTATAGGATACAGGAAGCCAGTGTAAGGACTGACAGAGGGGTGAGGTGTGAGAGGAAAATAGAAGGGACCGAGGACAGAGCCTTGACGGGACTCCAATTGAGACAGGACGAGGGGAGGAGGTATCATTCGAAAAGGAGACACTGAGCGTTGGGAGAGATAAGAGGAAAACGACAAGAGGACAGTCACAGAGTTTGAAGGAGAGCATGATCAACTGTCAAAGGCAGCAGAGAGGTCAAGAAGAATTAGTATGGAGTAGTGGCCTTTGGAATTAGCTGTGATTAGGTCATTAGTAACTTTGATAAGAGCAGTCTCAGTAGAGTGGAGAGGGTGGAAGCCAGATTGAAGAGGGTCAAGGAGAGAGCTGGAATTGAGGATGAGACATACAGGTAAAGACAAGTCTTTCAAGAAGCTTTGAGGAAAAAGGGAGCAGGGATATAGGACGATAGAGGGGGAGCACGGGTCAAGAGTTTTTTTTTTTTTTTCAGGTTAGGTACTACAGTGGCATGTTTAAGGTCAGCAGGGACAACGCCAGAAGAGAGAGAGAGCAGTTGAAGATGTGTGTTAAGGAAGGCACAATACAAGTGGAGTGAGGTCTGATAAAGACTGGCCTGGATCAAGCGGGCAAGTGGTGGGGCGAAAGGAAAGAAGCCCAGCCACCTCTTGTTCAGTAGCTGGGGAGAAAGTCTGAAGGATAGGAAAGGCATGATCTACGTGTGGTTGAGTAAGAGAACGGCAAGGAGGGAGAATTCTTTCTTTAGCTGTTCAATCTTGTCGGTAAAGTAGTATGCAAAACAATGTGTAGTTATGTGTAGCCATTTTGTTCTCCCCTGCTTGTTGGATTGGTTTTACTGATGGATTGTGTGTAAATTTGCAACTGAAACAGAGCATTGCATTTAATCTCTACCCATTGTCAAGTTGTATCAATTTGACTGCTGTAAATCATGAAAAGTAGTCCTTGCCGTATGTATTATATGAAATGTGAACAATCAGAAGGCTATATAGAAGCAGATTAGGTAATGTTTTTTTTTTTTTTTTACTTTAATATTGGTGAAATTACAAATGTAAAATTAGAGTATATATTAAAACAAACAAACTATTCGAAAAGGTGAGCAGTATTTCAATGTATAGGGGGGGTGACTGTTCTGTGACTTGGGGTGCCATAAAGACCTTATATTGTAGTGCTCTAATGGAGTTTGATCGCATGGAAAAAGATTTCTCAAACTTTCCTTCCCGTAGCCTAACCCCTGAATGAACACCTTTATTGTTTGTACATTGCCTATCAGAACCAATACCCCACAGCTTCTGGGCAGAGCAGAGAAGCTTTTTGTTTCACAAGTGCTTAATGAAAAGACTGAGCAACCCAGTGTGACTTGGGAGAACAGAGGTGAGCGAAGTTGGCTGTAAGAAAAAATGGCCTTCTTTAACATTTTTAGCTTCCCTTTAAGACTACCGAAAATATCATGCTGCTTCATTCAGTGCTTATATGTAGTGAAACATGCAACAAACGTCACACAATTATTTTATGAGTTGATAGGATCTACAGTTTGCCTTTCCATTCCCACATGTTGTGTTGCCACACAAAATGCTTGGTGTTTGCATATTAGACACAATTTGTTCACCTGCAATAACACTTGATAAAGTAAGGTGTAATCCTTGTACAATGATAAGGTTATGGTCCTGAAATTATTCTTTCATTTCTTATTTTGTCCTAATTTTTAGATGTGAAAGCAATTGGCAAAACTCATATAGGCAAATTGATCTGTTTTGACTTTACAATCTGACAGCTTAAAGGACCACTATAGTGCCCTGAGGGTGCCCCCACCCTCAGGGACCCCCTCCCGCCCGGCTCTGGAAGGGGGAAAGGGGTAAAAACTTACCTTTTTCCAGCGCTGGGCGGAGAGCTCTCCGCCTCCGTTACGCCCCGCCAGCTGAATGCGCACGCGCGGCAAGAGCTGCGCGCGCATTCAGCCGGTCTCATAGGAAAGCATTTACAATGCTTTCCTATGGACGCTGGCGTGCTCTCACTGTGATTTTCACAGTGAGAAGCACGCAAGCGCCTCTAGTGGCTGTCAATGAGACAGCCACTAGAGGATTAGGGGGAAGGCTTAACCATTCATAATTATAGCAGTTTCTCTGAAACTGCTATAATTATGAAAAAATGGGTTAACCCTAGAAGGACCTGGCACCCAGACCACTTCATTAAGCTGAAGTGGTCTGGGTGCCTAGAGTGGTCCTTTAAGTTGAATGAACACACAATGCGTTGACGTTTTCCTCGTATCCCATTTGTAATGTTTCAAACGTGTATAAAATCTTAAAGGAACACTTTAAGATATTATTTTATACAGGTTAACTCCACTTCTAATGACTGTCCAGTCTACCGAACAGCCCATAGAGGGATTTTCGGGTCGTTAGCAGACTTGGTAACCTAATTGACGGACGCCCTCACGCTATGCATGAATACATCCAGCGTCATCAAAAACCCCATAGGAAAGCATTTTACAATGCTTTCCTGTGGGGGTAGTCTTTATCTGAGCGCGGTGATTGCCGTGCATGCACATTATGTCCCCCCTCAGCCTGCGGGCAGGAGCGGAGGTGGAGCCTGGAATCAGGTAAGTGAAAAGAGGTGTATTTATTTTTATTAAACAACTTCTTTACCACGTTGAGGGAGGTGGGCACGATAGGTACCTATAGTGTCAGAAAAACAACCTGGCACTAGTTTTCCTTTAAATTGTGTAAATATGTAGAAATTGGAGTATCAGGTCAATATTTTGAAGTTATAAGTGACGAATTCCTGATTGCCGTACAGACCTTAGGTTTTTCTGGATTTAACCATTCTGGCTATATGTGAAATTATTTTTAAAGAGACTGTGTAGGCACAGTAACTACTTAATCTAATTGATGTGGCTAATTGGCTATACTGTCTGTAGTGCCCTGGCAACATCATACCTTTCAGTTTTAAGTTGGTTTCTAATGTTTCAATACTATAGAGTTCCCAACAGCCTATTCTCTTTGGTCCTCAGGCTAATGCTTCTTCATTAACCAAGCAGCAGTGGGCAGTTGAGTGTCTGGTGTCCGCATGTTGCTTTCAGCCTCAAAGTACCCATTGCAAGTATGAACCAGATTGGCTAGAAGGAATGGCCTTAGCCACGCCTATAGTAACGGCTATGGTGTGATTGGCTTGGGACCAAAACAAAAGCTCTATAAAACAACCTGTAATCCTTCCCTCTGCGGCCCAATACCCCCACAGTGAGATTAAGCACAATGATCTCTGGTCCAATCTAATGCTTCTTTGTTATTTCTAAGAATTAGAAGCCTACAATATAAAACAATGTAATGCTTTAACATTCCAAAAATACTGACCTAATCAGACCACGAGGGATGTTAACGGGGCACTCCAGACCCCTAAAGATCTTTAGCTTGTTATACTTTGTGTATGTATTTTTGTATTTTTTTTTTTTTTTTTAAAGTGAAGGGAAACTCCAGTGCCAGGTAAACAATCCGTTTTCCTGGCACTGCAGGTCCCCTCTCCCTCCAATCCCCGGTTGCTGAGGGGATGAAAACTCCTTCAGTCACTTACCAGAGGCAGCTCCGCGGTGCGGCTTCCTCCGCGCCGCTCCTCCCTCTGATTGCGGTGGGTGAGACTGATCCCGCCCACTGGCCGGGATACCTAATGCTTTCCTATGGGGAAATGAGCGACGCTGGAGGTCCTCACACAGCGTGAGGACGTCCAGCAATGCTCTAGCACAGGTTTTCTGTGCTATGGACAAGGAAGTGTCCTCTAGTGGCTGTCTACTAGACAGCCACTAATGGTGGAGTTAACCCTGCAAGGTAATTATTGCAGTTTATGAAAAAAACTGCAATAATTACAGTTGCAGGGTTAAGAGTAGTCAGATTGGCACCCAGACCACTCCAGTGGGCAGAAGTGCTTTGGGTACCTCGTGGAATGTCCCATTAATGGAGACAACGGTCACATCCTGGTTTGGTTAGCTTAGTGGAGCTAAACTCGAGGCACCAATTGCCCAGAGCACTAGTTTGCAAATACTTCTCATTGAGCTGCTTTGGGAAGTTTGTGATCAGAAAGTCTAGGCAGGGTTAGGAGAGAGCTTGCAAAGGCAGCAAACAGATTGCTCTAGGGCAGGGGTTCTCAACCCAGTCCTCAGGACCCCCTACCAGTCCAGGATTTGGGGATTACCTGGGTGTGTCTCAGGTGTTTAGAAAAAGAGAAAAAAAACACCTTTGACTCTAAGGTGTTATTTTTTTGTCTTTTTCTAAACACCTTAGACACACCCAGGTAATCCCTAAACCCTGGACTGGTAGGGGGTCCTGAGGACTAACGTTGAGAACCCCTGCTCTAGCTCTTGCAAGCTGTTTTTAGATATACGTCCCCTGAAAAAAATGCATAATTGCATTCATGTTTTCATTTGGGGTATATCTACAAACAGTGATTTTATTTTTGATCTTGGCCAGTGGGGTGTCCTTTTGGAGGTTACTCCAACCTCCATGACCATTTCTGCTTTTAAAAGTGCTCGTTGTAGGAGTTTGTATGTGCATTTAGAGATATTTGCACTTTTGCTCCCTGGCATTTGTGAATATTAATTCTGTGCAATCAGCGTGCATTGCAAGCTACCAACAGATGTCATGGAGCAGCCTGCAAAGGGAAATGTATCCTTCCCCTCTTTCTCTTTTATTTACGTTCTCTCCCCCTGCTGTCCATGCCTCCCTATATCCTTAACTTTTTGGGAAAATTTCCTCTCCCTCCCCTTATTGGCTCTGTGTGCATGTGTTTTGAGCTAGTGAGATGGTCTAATCAAATGATTCTCGATGCTTAAAAACACCTTAGAGAACCACTATAACTCCTCCCACTTAATTGAGTAAGGCAGCCAATAATAACATGCACACTGCTTGTGGTACCAGAGAGAACTAGAAGTCAGGTTGTAATTACACTGCAATTGTTTTGTTTTTTTTGTTTTTGTTTTTTGTTTGATAACTGTATACAAAGAAAGGGAATGCTGTAGTTATTGTACTTGGTGTCATGTTAATGAAAATAGTACTATACCTATTATGGAATTGATTGAAATATAGGAAATGTATGTACATCTGTAGTCCCATCTTATTTACTTGTGTAATGGGAGTAAAGGTGCTTCCCCAGTGGTACTGCTATCAATAGAATTGTTCCTGGCGCATCATTTGGCTGTTTGTGTTTGTGTGTCTCTCCCTCTCTCCCTCTCTCCCTCTCTCCCTCTCTCCCTCTCTCCCTCCCTTGTTTACACCCACACTTATTGTATATCATTTTATTCAGGGGAAACAGGGCTTTCATGTAACATCAAATATTTAGGTATGTCTCATGTGTAAAACAGTACCCCCTATGTGCAGGTTTTATGTTTTGGGAAGTTAGAGTCAAATATAGCGTGTTACATTTTTCATTTTTTCACATTGAAATTCGCCAGATTGGTTACGTTGCCTTTGAGACCGTATGCTCGCTCTCCCTCAATAGCTTGCTAGACCCTTCAAAAACATCCTTTATGTGATTAAAGTTCAATTTAGAGATTGAGATACAATTATTTAAGGTAAATTACATCTGTTTGAAAGTGAAACCTGTTTTTTTTTGTTTTTTTCCATGTAGGCTCTGTCAATCATAGCCAGGGGAGGTGTGGCTAGGGCTGCATAAACAGAAACAAAGTGATTTAACTCCTAAAGGACAGTGAATACAGCAGTGAAGTTGCAGGGGAATGATCTATACACTAAAACTGCCTTATTTAGCTAAAGTAATTTAGGTGACTATAGTGTTCCTTTAATTTATACCAAACTAAATCAAGGCTTATGAATGAAGCTTTAGGTGCTCTGATACGTAGATGTGTATAGTAGGCACCTGCCCAGTATGATTTTTATTTTATTTTATATACAGATTTAAGCTTTTGTAAGTAAATAGGAAAAAGATAGAGGGACCTCCTTATATTCTTTCGAAATGTACCATGAGCAGACCCTTTTATACAGGGACATCTAAATTAAGTTGTTATGGTTCCAGAAGGCCCCTGGGCGCACTTTTACCTCAAGGGGTTAAATCGTTCTCTTTTCCATTCGTTGGGTAAGACATTGGTATGACTGTTATGTTGAAGTTATATTTAGAATGTGAATGGTTATGAAGTATGCATCTATCAAGTCTTCTGCTTAAAGTTGCAAACAGTTTGCAGTTTGTTTTAGATACATGAGCAAATATTGTGCTGCATTAAGCTTTTTGCATTACTGCTGGGAAGCCATTTGAAGTAATGTCTGTAGATACCTAAAATCCACTTTATACGTTTTTTGTAATGATTAATCCCATGATGAGGATAGCTGTATGAAAACATTTTATAAATAAATAAAAGCGCACACTGCCCAGGTATTGTTAGGATGCCATGATCTTGGGGTAGCGGCTGATATTGCCAAGATAAGTAATCTGTACCAGACATTTTTGACATGTGATTGTTGGGAAATGCTGATAGAAACACAGTATTAGGAACAATTGTAAGTGAGCAGGCATCCTTAGATATGCAGCTGACAGAAGGCAAACAATTTTGACAGCTGTAAAACAGTAAGCATTGGATTGGATAACCGATATTCCAGTCAAGTGTATAAAGGTGGCTCTTAGAATGGCAGAGTAGGAAAAGTAGGCAAGGGATTGTTTAAAACATTTCAATATACATGATTTGGGTAAGGTAGAAATGGATAATCATAATCGGACCTATATTAAGGTGTTTTAAAATGTCAGTGTTTTCACATAGACCTGGAATGTCAGAATTTTTGCAGGGACTAAATTCCGATTTCACCATAAGAGGTCCCCAAAAGACACGGCCGAGAAGCACTGGGATCCTGAAGGCAAGGAGGAAGCATATCCTGTACACAATGTGGAACGTTTGACGAAAGTGGCAATATGATTGAGCAGAGATAAAAAATTTAATCTGCGATTCCAAAGATATAGATCCCTCCCAATTTACTGTAGTGAACGGTGGTCACTACTCATCTGCACACAGGCTTAAGAATAAGTAGAAATCAAGAGAAAATAACGGCAAAAATCACCTCCAAGAAAATGCAGTTTACACAAAAGGGATTTTTCAAATATTTGGAAATCCCCTTAAGTTATTGATGAACAGCAAATCAATGTTGCAGGAATAAAGTGCTACTTCCAATAATGCTCAGTATAAATTGGGGTATGACACACTAACACAGTATCAGGCATATGCCTGAGGTGTCTCTGGGTGCTTTCAACATATAGGCCTCCGTCTGGAGCCAGCCACAATTTAACTTAACCGTGGGACTGTTGAGAGGAGAGGTGTCTTCGGTTGACCCAATAGTAGCTTCAAAATAAGTTTGAAATGGTGGCCTGTTCAACTGCCCACAAATAGACATACACTGAAGCAAGGCTATTATGTATTTGCTGTATTAAAAGGCAATATCAAAGCCCTATAATAACTACAGTCTGCTGTTGTGGTTAAGTGCCAGTTGTCCCCTGTTCCACCAGCAGCAGACTTTATTTTTTTTTTTGAGCACTGTTTAATATTGTCCTGGGACACTCTGGTCCTCTGCAGTCATGTATTCTCGATACAGCTAAATCCAGTTATATCTGCATTTTGTGCAGCTTTTCACATCATTCTTTGACTGAGAGTGGCAGCTGTAGTGTAAACATACTTTTTTTTTTTGTTTCAGTAACTATTCAAACTTGGATATCAAATGGTATCCTCTACACCAGGGGCTCCCAATTAAATTTTCCAGTGGAACCTTTTGACATTGTGGGGTTAGTAAACAGATTGTAGTACTTCTGAGCAGGTGTGCAGAGTTGGTGTTTGTGTAAAATTTTAGCATTTTAATACAGGGATGTCTTTGAATATAGCATTTGCGTTCAAAGGTGTGTTTGGATGTTGTATTTTAAATGCATATGTACATTTGTGTATAGTATAGGTATTTAAATGCTTTGTATATAGTTTTGGAGATAGAGTTTAGGGGTGTCTTTGTATGTTTGCAGGAGTGTGTGGTATGTTGACGTTTGATCGCAAGGATGTCTGTTCATGTAATGCCACATATACACACATATATATACATACACACACTGGAACATAAAAACACAGATATACACAACATGACGCATGTATTTGCGCACACACATACATAGATGTACCCTCTTGTTCACTTACCTTTTTTCTGCAGGAAGGTGACTTTCTTCAGTGTTGATGCTGGTGTGCCAGGTCGGCAGCTGTTCGCCTTCTTCCTCGAGCCAGTGCGCACCGTCTGGGAGGAAGTGCTGTCACTTCCTGCGAGCATCCAATACTACAGGTGCCCGGTGGTGGTCTTAAACGGCCGTGGCGCCTGACTGCACCCCTATTTAGCGATGCCCATCGGTTGGCCCTAAATGCTTGGGCCACCAGATGGGCAAATAGCCACAGAACTCCAATTTGTGTCTTGCGGAAATCTAGGGTTCTGCAGAATACAAATTGGGAAACTCTGCTCTGCACTATGCTCTTACTTGCCATGAACCTCTATACTATCTAAATACCTAGAATATCCCTAGTATAAAAATCTTTAACAGCAATTTGTGACAGTGAGTCTGATGTAATTTTATTATCCCATTGCCCTTTGGTCCTGAGGTTTACTGTGAAGTCTCAAGAACATCTTGATAGATTCCCTAAACATTATGTTGCGAGTGTGCATATACATGCAAAATTCATATTCACCAACTGAAATTTTGTGTTGTTGCAATTTGAAGGAATTCCTCAATTCTGACAGTTGTTGTGCTGTGAGAGTCGCAGTGGTCAGTGCTTCTTTTGGCACATGATTTTTCTGTTTCATCATGATGTGGAACAGCTGTGGTGGAGAGCATGAGGATATGTTTTCACCTGTCTTCTCCATGAGACGAGCATCAGATCGCAATGGAGCATGGACCACTGTGTATGTCAAGAAAAGCCCTGATTGCTGCTGCTTTCATGCCAAGCCATCATAACAGTGTGAAGGAGGACAGAGGGTGAACTGATGAGATGGAAAAAAAGGGGTGGGTGTTTAAAGGGACACTGTAATCACCAGAACTACAGCATATTGTATTCTGGTGAGTATAATCATTCCTTACAGGCTTTTTGCGGTAAACACTGTCTTTTCAGAGAAACTGCCTAGGGATAATGCCACTAGCCACTCCTCAGATGGCTGTTAGAGATCATTCTTGGGGCAGTGCTGCACATTGGACTAGTGTTTGGGAAATCCAGCTATAAAGCCAGCATTAACCCTTTAAGGACCAAACTTCTGGAATAAAAGGGAATCATGCCATGTCACACGTCATGTGTCCTTAAGGGGTTAAGGTGGTCCTTTAAGTAGAAATTCAAACTTTAACAACACTGTCATTTGTGTTTTTCTGCTGATAGTTGTAGGTTGGTGTAAAATCAAATTTAATGTAGGAACAGTACTATTATAATATCTATATCTCTCAAGTCATTTTCTTCTGGGGGGACATGGCTCTGGCCACAGTGTTTAGAACTTGTCTAGAATTTAGGACATTAGATGCTTCACTGCTTTTATTGTGTATGTTATTTTTATTTAAATATTTTTGGAAGAGGCAGCCTCAGTGCTTAAAGGAGCACTATAGTGCCAGGAAAACAAACCATTTTTCCTGGCACTATAGGGTTATTAGCAGTAACATTTTGTGTAGATTACATTGTGTAGACTAAAGGAATTCAGAAGAAAACAGTCTTATACATGGAAAAAGTGTGTGTGTGTGTGTGTGTATGTGTATATATATATATATATGTATGTATGTGTGTGTATATGTATGTATATATATATATGTGTGTGTGTGTGTGTGTGTGTATATATTTTATTTTTTATTTTATTTTTTCTCACTACATTTCCATTCCCAGATTTGCGCCATCCCTGGATAGCTCTCCCAGGAGTGCCCATTCTGTCCAAAAAGCACTTGGAGCTGTGGTGTCTTGCTCGAATGTTCTTAATGTTAAAGGACCACTCTAGACACCCAGACCACTTCAGCTTAATAAAGTGGTCTGGGTGCCAGGTCCCTCTAGGGTTAACCCATTTTTTCATAAACATAGCAGTTCCAGAGAAACTGCTATGTTTATGAATGGGTTAAGCCTTCCTCCAATTCCTCTAGCGGCTGTCTCATTGACAGCCGCTAGAGGAGCTAGCGTGATTCTCACTGTGATTTTCACAGTGAGAGCACGCAAGCGTCCATAGGAAAGCATTATGAATGCTTTCCTATGTGACCGGCTGAATGCGCGCAGCTCTTGCCGCGCGTGCGCATTCAGCCCAGGAGGAGGATCGGAGGAGGAGAGCTCCCCGCCCAGCGCTGGGAAAAGGCAAGGTTTTTACCCCTTTCCCCCTTCCAGAGCCGGGCGGGAGGGGATCCCTGAGGTAAATGCTTTCCTATGCGACCGGCTGAATGCGCGCGCAGCTCTTGCATATATACAGCCTTGTGTGTACTTAATCACTATGTCATGCTTAATAAGCTTCTAACTATCCTAAATAGAAAACTATCCACGTATATTGTTAAAAAAAAAAAAAAATTTCTCCTCTTCCTCCAAAATCTATTTTATTTATTTTTAAATCCAATTTAGACAAATCTTTACAAGTAACGTTAAGCCATTAACCCCCCCCCCTTCCCTTACAAAACTTAAAGCAACACTACGGGAACACAAATGTATATTCCTGACCCTATAGTGTTAAAAACTCTATTTAAACTATAAGATTGTGCATGTAACGGAGCATCACTCTGAAATTGTCAATAACTTATGACTGCTTTTAAGTTATCATTTGTGTCCTATCTTTTGTATCTTGCATTCACAATAAAAATTGTTTTGGGAAAAAAGCAAAACTCTTTAGCCCCTCGGCCATCCCCTTTCCCCATTTAAATATAGTAATAACTCCTCTAATTTCTAGTGCTGGTGTTTGGCTCCGCCTCCTTGCTGACATAACCAGAAATTATCTTGGCCAATCACAATGCTTTCCCATTCCCAAACTTTATAATAGCACTGAATTTGTCTTTTCAGCTATGTAACTTTCTGTTGGTACCCAGAAACTTAAAGCTGCCCCCAACCAATTTGTCCCTTACTTTCTTTATTGCCAATTGGAATTTTGAATATTTCAGTTTTCCAGCGGCCCTGTATGCTACATTGCACGCATGTTCTCCGGGTGCACATACTTGCGATTCGGGTTTTTTGTTTTTTTTTAACTGCCACCATTTTTATTCAGCTGTATTTCTGTTCTTGCAAGGACAGTGGACTACACAGTGTCGTGTCTGTGTGTGTAATTTTTCTTATTATTCTTCTGGTCTAAGGCTTATTAATGCATTCACATCTGTTTCCTAAATGGCCATCATAAAGAAGCATCAATGAACACGCTGGTTATTCGTACGTCAGCACAGCTTATGCAACATCTAGAAAATCTGCTATATGGTCTTACTGTAGTACTGGTGTAACTTGAAGCCATGATTTTTGGAACTGTGATTTGAGTTCTTACAGCAGTGTGGCACTTCTTTTGTGTGTATGTATACTTTTGTGTTGTCTTCACCAGTACAATATTGGTCTTGCCTAATGAAGATAATGGAACAATTATTATTTCTGTGCTGTTATGTGTGACTGTTCAGATATTCTTGGGTCATTTGTTTAAATATTTTTCTGTTAACTCTTTCAGTAATCTATGCCAGCAATTATGACCATGTTAGCAGACCATGCAGCGCGACAGCTGCTGGATTTCAGCCAGAAACTGGACATAAATCTTCTGGACAACGTGGTGAATTGCTTGTACCATGGAGAGGGAGCACAGGTAATTTGTGTCACTGAAGATTATTAATAAAAATAATTAATCACAATGTATGGGTGTCCTGGTTTTCTTCTTTGTGATGATCTATAATGCCAATGCTTGCACATGGTAAATTCCTACTGAACTACTTTTTAAGCTTACACAGAACATTTTCAACCATTGCTGAGTATTTCTAAAAGTTGCATAGTTTTGACTTCAGCAGTGTATAAACCATTCACTAAAATAAATTGGCACCCATTTGAATAGAATCCTACCCCACTTCACAAGCTCTTACTGAATATCTTCCAGAAACTGTGTGTAAGGTTATGTTGATGTCTGCAGAAGATAGAGTAAACTGCTGCATATGGCCTCCTAGCTGGAGTGGTTTAGAAACTGCTAGTCAAACTTAGCCACTGTAATATGTAAATCAGGGTGGAGTCAAGGACCAAACTAGTGTGGGTTTGTACTTTCTCATGAAGAAAACTATTTAAATAAATAGCCACATCATTCATTGCACACATCGGTTGAAATTTTCATTCATATTTGGCTACCTGTAAAATTTTGGCGTTCTGGCAACATACATTTTAGCTAGTATTTCAAATGTTTGTACATCAGAAGGTTAAATTTGCATGTTTTTCTAAAACATAGAACCATAATGCAATGTTGAAATTATCCAGCAGCAGGTGTAAGTTTGAGCAAAGCAGCATCTTGTAAATAATCAACGTGGAAACAATATAAAGGGTTTTTCTTTTTTTCTTTCTCTCTCTCTCTCTATATATCTATATCTATATATCTCTATCTCACACTCCATACATGCAAACACCATCTACTTGCACTTATATACCACACACAAATAGTCTCATGCTATGCAATCCATACAAATATTGGGACTGTGGAGCACACCTTATTCTGAGCTCTGGGCTGCTTGAATGTTATTTATACATGCACTCCTCAGCATTAAGACATGCCAACTGTCAGAATCCCCCTACTGGCAACCAAAACTAAAATCTGAGTTGTCAGACTTGTTGAAAAGGACAATATAGTCACCAGAACTACTTTAGTGTAATGTAGTGGTTCTGGTGTCTATACCCTGTCCCTGCAGTCCTTTCAATGTAAACGCTGCCTTTTCAGAGGAAAAGGCTGTGTTTACGTTGCTGACTGGTAACACTTCTAGTTACTCAGTCGGCCCTAGAGGTGTTTCTATACCTAAACCGCTACTTCAGGTGTCTGTTTATATTCCTGACACTAGTGTTACTTTAATTGGGGGCATTTTTCTTGTCTAGGATTGCATATGTTTTGAAATTTCTGCAATACTTTTTTTTTAACACAGCAAAGAATGGCTCAGGAAGTGCTAACCCACTTAAAGGAACATCCCGATGCATGGACAAGAGTTGACACCATTTTAGAGTTCTCGCAGAACATGAATACCAAAGTAAGCATGGGAAAGTATTTAAAAATGACTTTTTTGTCTTACCTCCCTTCCTACTTGCCTTTCCAGTAAACTTTGAGGAAGTTATCTCACTGCTCGGCTAACTACACTGTATGTAACTGTTCTCATTACTTTAGAAAACCGTTAATTTTAGAGAAACTGATGTGAAAACAAAGTCGATTGAAATTTATATATATTTTTTTTTTTTTTTTTTAATTGAAGGTTACATTGAAAGTGGGTTTCTACTTCTTTAGTATAATCTACTGAGCAGAAAACAAAGTATCTTAAATAGAAAATCACAGCTGGTCTTGGTTGCACAGTTTGTTTTTATTAATTTACAACAGTAAACAATGTATTCCAACTGTTAAAATGTGTAAGTGAATACTATCCCAGATTTTTCTTTCTTTTACAAGTGAAAGTTTTTTTACCTGTTATTCGGTTCTTTAATACTTCAGTGTATCAAATATTGCATTTGCATGTACGTGTTTGAATTTCAATTCTAAACTCTTTTCCTTGGCATTGTTTGGTTTCATGTAAACCTCTGTAATGCTCTGTTCTCATTGCAATTATGTGATGGTTAAAAAGAACCCTTTATTGGGATCACTTGTATTTCAAGTGTTGGCTATCTTAACATTGCCCAGTGAAGCTAGAGCACATCTGAATTAAGCTTCCCTTTCAACACCATGCCTTTAAAAAAAAAAATAGACTATTTTGAGATCTTAAGGTTATATACTGTACAAATGTTTGTGCTTCCAAAATGACAGTACATTTTCTGTAATTCAAAGGCATAATTGTCATGCCTGAAATAATTGCCAATTTCAAGGCTTAATTTTGCACTCTCTCCTATCATATATCACCCTTAATGTTGTTTTCTTTATGTGGGTTAAACCACTTTCAAACTTACTCAAAGTGCTAACTTTGGTTAACATTATTTGCTTGCCTGGTCATTTTCTGCGTTTGTTACTGACAGACATTACTAATGTTTAAGTTGATTTATCAACAGCAATAATTTTGTTAAAAACTCAAAATTGTCTAGTGAAAAAAATGACATGCTTAGCGGAACAGAAAGAAAGCAACAGGTAAAGAACTTTTCAATTTACATAAACTGCAAATGATTTGGTGCTAAAATCTATGCACTATTACATTTGGCTTTTATGCTATTTATTTTTTTAATATATATTTATAAAGCTGTTAACACTACCTGATAATATTAATCATAATGTTCCATTATGTTGATTGCTTGTAATAGGAAGAAAAGGGGTGTCTTCCTGTGCAACTGACACAGCTAGGCTTTGACGGCAGGCCTCCACAAGGTCTACCCTTTTCATTCCCTTTAACTGAATTCTGTTCATCAATTGTCTTGTTTCGTGGGTGGTTGGGAGGGGGTGGGTGTGGGTTGGTTTCAGTATGTAGTAATAATTAATATGAGGGCATATAGTAATTTTTACCACAGGGATCATTTCTATGCATTTTGGCATTGCACATTTGCTGCTGTTTTGCAAACTGAACTAAAAATGAAATTCCAAAACTAAGCCTTTAGAAGTATTGTGTATAATATATATATAATTTCTTGTGTGTTTTACCCCCACAAGTCATAAAGGGAAATAAAAAGCAGGCAGTGTTTCTTTATTGATGCCATGTTCCTAATTTAAGTAACTAAATATTTAAGGTACCTGGGCACTTTTTGCTTCATATTCTCATTTTAAATTTAGCATACGTGCATTAATATGTAGTTTCATCCCTATGTTCCTTATTCACATTTTCTTTTTCCCTAAGCGGATCTGTCATTTGAGTTTTTCATAAAGATACCATCTTAATGAGATACTCATTGACTAAGTTGAAAGTTCATTGAACATAATCATAGGACTAAGTAGGGACTTTCACTGGTTCTCTTTTTAGGAGCATAAAAAAAATCAATGTATACATAGTACTAGCAGAATTACTAGCAAATATATAAATTGGGAGAAAAGCCTTTTACTTATCTCAATTATCTTAATGATAAATGTGTTGCTTTGGGAGTGGTTATACATTTTATTGAACCAGACATGGTGGAGTAACCTATTTTTTTATTTTATTTTTTAAGCCTTTTTTTTTTTTCTTTTCTGTAGGATTATATACTTATTCCGTAAGAACATATGATTTAAAATGATCCTGTCATAACAGGTTAACTTTACCATGTCCGTGATCACAGTTTATTCCAGTCACTGTGCACCCAAGACTTACAGTTTACATCCATTAAAAATAATGTGAAATAATTTGCACTAATGAATGGAAACTAACTTTTTTTTTTTTTTTTCATTTGTGCAAATTTTTTAGATTTAAATTATTTGGCAAAGTGAAATGCTTGGTTTTGAGGGGACTGTCCATGTGAGATTTTTTTTTTAAATTTATTTTTTCTTTCATATGTTGTCCCTTTTTAAAAGTTGCAATTCACAATTGAAACCAAGAATTATGGAGTGTGTTTTTGTTTTTACATCTGTTATTTACATCTTTAACACACCTTTGTCATGATTTTGATTATTCTTTTAAGATTCCCCCTTCTATCTTTTTAAACTACTGATGTGTAGCTGCAGTGACAATTTAACTTTTGTCCTTTCTTTCTAAAATCCTGTAATATTAAGTTGTAAATCTTATTTAGCTTCAGCTGGATAAGTCCTTCCAACTTATGTTACAGAGCAGGAGCTGACATTTTAACATTTTCTAAAGAAGCAACGCCCATGCTTTCAAGTTTTAAACATTTACCAAGTATTAATTGGATTAATGGCATTCTGAGACTTGAATATATCTTGAAAGATAAGTAATGAATGGTTTCCTCCAGGGTTTTTCACCAATGTGAGAATTGTTTGCAATTCAAACGAAACTTAAAATGTATGGCCAAAATAACTCAATTGGAAAACCATTCCCCAAGTCAGTCATGCTTCTAGATTGGTCTAAAATTTTAAATTTAATTTAAATTGGACAAGTCTCACTTTAGTGAATAAGCTTGCCAATGAACACTTTTAAACCTACTTAATATACTAATTGGATGTGATTTAACCCATCATCAATAGAAACACTGCCCAGTTTCCCATTATTGTGAACTCAACACAGATTAAAACTGATCAAATGCAACCGACCGTTGAAAACAGCAAATATATAAGTAATTGTAAAAATACTTAAAGGCTGGCATGATCCCTTTGGTTGAAGTTATATTGATCGACTTTGTTGTACAGTGACTAACCTTTGTAGTGAGAACTTTTATTCTAGTCAAACTGTCCAGATTTAAATATTTGTTCTGGAAATTTTTACCTTTCAGCTATTCATGTTTCAAATTATTTTCCACTCCAGGTATATAAATACCCATAGAATTACATTTAACTATATAAAGTCTAATAGGTCAAAGCACCCTCCCTAACTATTGCTCTGAAAAAGGTTAAGTAGAATGTTAACTGTTTGGTATTGTAAGTTTTGTTTCACAAAACAAATTTAACCACATTACTGGCTTAGATTTAATTTTGAAATGCTTTCTAACCAATTTGTGGTGTCTTGATTTCAGATTATCTATAACTGCACCAATTTATTTCGCAGTGGTGCTATTTGTGTGTTTTTTTTTTTTTTTTGTTTTTTTTTTTTTTAAAAACACACCTCCCCTCAGAGTTCGGTGTTACACTTCTGTAATACCCATCTATGGTCTGCTCACACTCCTTACCTTTTAGCAGAGTTGGTTAGGGGATTAACCATAGCAAACACATGTTGTTGCTATGGGTGGAGAGCAGAGGCACCTCCTATGGGAGGTCTCATCTACTCTCCCTGTCTCTGTTCCTCTGCAGTGGAATTGAGAGAGATGGAAGAAAAATCTATTTGTAGATATTTTTTCTCCAAATCTATATATTTGCTAGCAAAACTGAAAAGTTGGAATTTGAAACTGTTTTAAAAAGCTAAAGCAGTTTTGCCCATGAAAGGCTCCCTTTAAAGTGAGTCAGCATGGAAACTGATGGAATGTTCCTAGTGATTGCTCCACTTTTTGAAGTTTCTCTGTTATTTAAACATAACAAGTACATTATATCGAGATTTCATGATGAATAGGAACAAGTTGTCTGAGAATAGACCAGGGATGATTGGTTCTTTGGAGAGGTCTTCATGAGTTGGTGTGCTTTCCCAATTATGATGGCTTCAAGTTTTTTTTTTTTTAAAAGCTGTAGTCAAATATCTAAGAATGCGCAGCCCTAGGGGAAATGACAGCAGAGCACAGTTGAATGTCACTGTACAGTGGAGAATTCAAATGGACTTGTAGATTTTTATTATGTTAGGGTGCAGTTGTAGACTACTTTTTGAAGGTGAAAAAGGGTAGCAGTTAAATAAAAAAAGCATGCAAGAAACTAATGTATTCATTGACACAGGAATGAAATGTCAGAATAACTTGTAAAAATAAGCATGTTAATAAGATCTTAGGTAGATGTTTTGAGGCGAATGCATTGTTTTGTAACACAGGAGGTGGGAAAATAAGTGGAAATAAAGAGCATTGCTTTATTCCTGCCTATTTCATCACACTAATAATCACTGCAGCCCATCTCGTGATTATGGAGCCAGGAGTGCCGTGTTAACACCTCATTGTAAGATGTCAAACAGTTTTAGCACAGTTTAATAACTGCCCAGGGTGCCTGTGCTACATCTGGTCTATTCCAGAAGAATTGTCAGCATGAAAAAGGAGTTAATAGTTGCCTCTTTAACTATTAAAGATCTAATGTTCCTCCATCCCACTTAAGTGTTGTTGGTGGACTGACCTTTAATGACTTCTGTTAAAAAGAACACTCCTCGACAGGCCGGTTAGCAGTCATAGCTACCAGAGTTTAAGATTTACAACTGCATGGAAGTGCTTCTTTAAACTTCTTATTGCTGATTGACCATGGTACCCAAAAAAGTCATGAATAGAACTATTTTGGAACACCTTGGGCAGAACTGGAAATGTGTTTTTTGTTTTTTTTTGTTTCAGGTCAGTATTTTTAATGCCCATAATTGAACAGATGGCTAAAATGACCAAAATGGTATTCTTTTGTATCAGAAGAATTAAATTGGTTTACATGCTTAAGTGCTGAATACCTGAAAGGTAAAATATAACTTATGCAAATGCAACTCTTATTTTGACAAAGTATAAAAGTTCATCTCAAAGTTAGTGTAACAGGTCTGTGGTGTGGGAGGTTACTGGGGTGGGGTTTAGCATACTGAAGCATTTTCACTCTGCACCTAGATTCACACCAGTGAAGACCAATGCTATTTGCATTATTTGTTGTTTATTCAATAGGAACATTAAGAAAATTTAACTCATGCTTAACTTAACATCTATTACACATCTTGTATACTCTTACTGTACTGTTCTTCTTATTCTATTAGCCATTTATAGTTTTCCCTGAACTCTTCCTGGTGTGAGGTTGATTAAATAGCTGGGGTTTTAGATGATACAAAACAAAGGATTGTGCATGTATAAAATACATGGGGGGTTGTAGATGTACATGTTTTAGTTAATGTGTGAATGGATTGGCTGTGTGATGTTTTATTGAGAGGTTTTTAAATTTTGTAATATCTTTTGAACATTTATAACCACAAAATCCTCACATACTTCTGTTCTCCAATTTCAGTATTATGGGCTTCAAATATTGGAAACTGTAATAAAAACGAGATGGAAAATCCTTCCTCGGAACCAATGTGAAGGTAAAACTGTGTTCATTTCATTTAAGAGGATTTGAATTATTTACTCTTTAAACAATATTACAGAGAGTTCATTATTTTGGTTGACAAAACATTGTCAAATTTTAGTTTTTGAATGCAAAACAATCTAAAACCAGATGGCTTGCAAATTTTAATGTGGAGTTTTTTTTTTAATATACTCTAAAATGCCTTTTTCATGCTAGGACCAGCAGGTTGTGTGTTAACAGGAAACTATCTCTTCCCATGAGTTTAATTTACTATACCTTTTTATCCACTGTAGTATGTATTTGTGAGGTGAGAAATGTAAAACTAAATGTTTAAATCTTTTCCACTATCAGACATCTGGATAATGTCATTTTAGCACTCTGTCAATCATTATTCAAAGCTTTGTGTTTGGCGTCTGGCAGTGACCATGGATAAGAGGAGAAATCTAAGTTTCTATATCTCCTCCTCATTGACAATCAATGCCATGGCTGTGCATGGACTAGATTGGGGTATACCTTGCTAAAAAAAATATAGTATCTTGTTTGCCTTTCATTATTTTAATTTTATTTTTATTTTTTTAACACAAGGGTGCTTGAAGGTTGGATAAAAACTGGTAGGGACTCACTGCAATAAGCTATAGTAATAGTGCTTGCAGTCCCTTTAACAAATGTAAACACGATTTTGGTCAAAACAGTAAATTTGCAAACCTCTGCTCTTTTAGTTAGCCAACATGTATCAAATTTGGTTTAGAATTCACTATTTTTGGTTAACTCCATGGAGAGGGTCAAGGTTTCCAGCCATCTATTGATTTTGGAAAAGGCAGTCTGTCTACACGGATCACTTAGTTTTGCCGTCAGTTCTGATTTCTTTGTGTTCATAGTAAGGAATTTAAACTTTGTATAATTACATATTTTGGGCTTATTTTTAAAAAATATCTTCTCTTGCATTTTAGGTATTAAAAAATATGTTGTGGGATTAATCATTAAGACTTCTTCTGATGCAACATGTGTGGAGGCAAGTATTTAAAATAAATAAATAATATAATAATAAATATATATAATACATTCTATATCTTATTTTTAAGTAACCATTGCTAAAGAGAATTTTTTTTTTTTTCTTCCTATGATAGAAAGAGAAGGTGTATATTGGAAAATTGAACATGATTCTCGTTCAGGTACGTGGAACTTTTGGAGTTATTTTAATAATACTTGTATGTAGTTCAAAACTTGGCTGTAATTTTATTAATCAGATAAAATTAAAGACATTGCTTTTTAGTAAATATCACTATTTAGTAAATATAACCCAAATGAAAACACGAATTTTTTTTCCATTTGGATTATATATATATATATATATATATATATATATATCTTTATATATATATATATATCTATCTTTATATAGAGATAGAGATAGATATATATATATATATATATATATATATCTCTATCTCTATCTCTATCTTTATATAGAGATAGAGATAGAGATATATATATATCTCTATCTTTATATAGATATATATATCTCTATCTTTATATAGATATATATATCTCTATCTTTATATAGATATATATATATATATATATATCTCTATCTTTATATAGATATATATCTCTCTATCTTTATATAGATATATATATAGATATATATATATCTTTATATAGATAGATATATCTTTATATAGATAGATATATCTCTATCTTTATATAGATAGATATATCTCTATCTTTATATAGATAGATATATCTCTATCTTTATATAGATAGATATATCTCTATCTTTATATAGATAGATATATCTCTATCTTTATATAGATAGATATATCTCTATCTTTATATAGATAGATATCTCTCTATCTTTATATAGATAGATATCTCTCTATCTTTATATAGATAGATATCTCTCTATCTTTATATAGATAGATATCTCTCTATCTTTATATAGATAGATATCTCTCTATCTATCTTTATATAGATAGATAGATCTCTATCTATCTTTATATAGATAGATATCTCTCTATCTATCTTTATATAGATAGATATCTCTCTATCTTTATATAGATAGATATCTCTCTATCTTTATATAGATAGATATCTCTCTATCTTTATATAGATAGATATCTCTCTATCTTTATATAGATAGATATCTCTCTATCTTTATATAGATAGATATCTCTCTATCTTTATATAGATAGATATCTCTCTATCTTTATATAGATAGATATCTCTCTATCTTTATATAGATAGATATCTCTCTATCTTTATATAGATAGATATCTCTCTATCTTTATATAGATAGATATCTCTCTATCTATCTTTATATAGATATCTATCTATCTAACAGCTTGCAGAAGCTGATCATCTCTTGTCTAACGTCTGTATATGCCCTCCCCTTCTATCCAAGCCCAGACTGTCTGTGGCTGACCAACCATAGTTCCCAAAAGAGCCCAATGAGAAGTCTTTGCAAGGGATGTGATCTAAGGAATTTACCTGCCTCTTGAGTTTCGCTCCACTAAGCTAAACAACCGGAAAGTAACATGAACTGTTGTGTAATAGGGGGTGTGACAAGGTTAATTTATGAAAGTCAAAGAAAAGTTACTTGGCACTATCCCAAATCTGTATGATTAAATAACTGGAGCTTTTTAGTATCACTCCAGTGGCCATTAGATTGTAAGCTCACCTGTCATGTCAAGGTACACTAACAATACACCTTGCTTCCTTCATCTACAGTTATATTAAAAAAAAAAAAAAAAAAAATCTGAGACGGGTATATTTCTAAACTGTTCAGACTCCCACTACTCCTGGGTGGCAGCAATGACCATTATACACATCAGCCCCAATACATACAATAATAACCAATAACCAAAGAAAAGTTACTATTGTGTATATATTGTGGCTGATGTGTACTACGGTCATTGCTGTCCAGGAATTGAGTCTGAGCGCAGGACAATTTTTTTTTTTTTCTCCCAAATGTGCACTATTTCTAAAATAAGGGGGGTGGGGGGGAATATAATGGGCACATTCTTCCCTCCTAAAGCACATAAGAAATCACTTAATATGGGCGTATCTAACCAAAAAAACCACTTGCCTGACTTTCCCATTTCCCCTTTACTGACAGTCATGTATATGCACTTTTTGATTTAATTGTAGTTTGTCTGACAGAATTCTTCAAGCGGGGCACATTTTGGACATTTACTAAAATAGTGCACTTTGTTAATGCAATGAATAAGTAAGGGTATATGGACTAACCTTTTAACAGAATTTGTTGAGGTTAATAGTATAGAGTTTGCACAGAGTTATTCTGCACGTAAAACATTACAAAAAATTTGGGTAAAAGGGCACAATATATGAATTCTAATTTGCCATCAGATTTGTTTTTCTGATGCTCATACTTGGGTATATGTATTTCAGGGGATGTAACCTTATTCCTGGAGTGAAGCTCTTGGATGACTTTACTAAGTGGTTGAAGTGAAGAGTTGTGTGTAATGCAATTATTTGCTAGCAGAGGTCTAGTCCAATTAAAGTTGCCACTGTAGTAGATGTGAACTGTTGAATGCATAACCTCTACTGTGGCCATTATTTCTACTTTTTACCTGGACAGGTTATACTCTGTTCTGGTTTTATAGGTCATAATTCTTACTCTTATTTGTTTTTAAAAACAAATTGGCAAACACAATGTATAGATATATAGTTGTGATATATGCGATGTCATTTTTATTGGACAAGTTCACTTTTATAATTATCTTTTCTCAATTATAGATATTGAAACAGGAATGGCCTAAGCACTGGCCAACATTTATCAGTGACATCGTCGGAGCAAGTAGGACCAGTGAAAGCCTTTGCCAGAACAACATGGTCATCTTAAAACTGCTTAGTGAAGAAGTATTTGATTTTTCCAGTGGACAAATAACACAAGTCAAAGCCAAACATTTAAAAGACAGGTAATGTTTGTTTTTGTAGCTAATGTACTTTGTAGTCTTGTCGTCGTCCCCCTTGAAATAAAAATAAAATATTCTTTGAAATAGACTTTAGAAAAACATTTCTTCCATGTACACTTCTTTACAATGTTATGTATAAGGCACAGCTGTAATAATGCTTATGATGCCAGATTAGATTTCACACTTCTAAAGGCACACTCTACTCTTAATCTCATTGAAATGGTTATAGTGTCAATAGTACCCTGGCATCACCCCTTTATTAATTGTTAAATTATATGTTAAACTGTTTTGGTTTTTTCAAAGGTTTAACACTAAAAGAGAATTACCTGCAACCCAACACCTATTAGAGGAATAGCTAACACAGAGATTACTCTTCTATTGCCATATTAATTCATTCCAGCAGTAATAGCTGAGAGACTCTCAGCCAATCACTTATGCCCATTACTGCTTAGGCTAATATGAATGTATTAGCCAGTGAGCACAGAGGTGATGTACCAGTGTTAAACCATTCAAAAATGGTTATGAAGAGGCTGCACCAGACAACTCCAGGCAATTAACCTCTTCATTAACATAAGAAAATTTACATAGTGAGCTCTATTTGAGGAATGATTTGGATTGAGAGATCTCCACCCCTTCCGATTAGGAAACCGCATTGGACAAAAGATGTTAAGTGCATTTGAGATCTTGCTCTGTGTTTTTTTTATAGTGTAACTCTTTAATGACCTTCCTTGAGGACAACTGGAAAATAAATGCATGTGCTGCAGGCTTCCAGGGACTGAGCATATTTGCTAATGGCGAGTAAACCGTACCCAGCACACAATAGACACCATAACCACTTCAAGCAGTGGAAATTATTTTGTCATTGTGTCCCTTTAACCGATTTCCCATGAATAATTTAGCATTTGTTGAGATCCAATTATGGTAAAAAGTGTTATGTTGATCTGTTGCAAAATAAAACCTGCATTAAACAAAAACAAAACAGGATGGCAAAGGCTATTCTTTTTGAGAAATCCTTTTATTGAACATTTTGCATGTAACATTCTACTTTCATACAAAATAGCATGTCAGTTTTTTCTTTTAACTTAAATATGGACTTTTCTTTTCTTATTCCAGTATGTGTAATGAATTCTCACAGATATTTCAGCTCTGTCAATTTGTAATGGTAAGTTTGTGTGTATATATTTATAGTTTTGTTAATTTTCTTCCTGCTATTTTTGATTGGTCAAGCCACATGTAGTTATTTCTTTTTCATACAAAACGCAATGCTTTTGCAAACAGATCAAAAGATTAGACTGCATGTTACTAAAACGTTATGTTTAATCACTGTTGGCGTTCATGTACTCTGCAATATGACTTAAAAATGGAGGAATTTGTTTACTTGTTTTCTAAACTACTACCAAAGCTGCCTTTCACCAACTTGTTAGGTGTTTTTAAATTTCACTAAAGCCTCCTTAACAAACAGATTTCTGTCACTTGCCCGTTGCTCTTCAAGTGACAGAAATCAGTTTGTAAAGATGGCTTTTGGATTACTTTCAAATAATTTCAAGGTGGAGTTCAGAGGAAAGACTGCTGTTTAAATGTTTGTAGAACTATATGAACTTATAGGAAATACATTTTACCTCACTTTAGGAAAACTCACAGAATGCCCCCCTCGTTCATGCAACTTTGGAAACTCTACTCAGATTTCTTAACTGGATCCCCTTAGGGTACATCTTTGAAACCAAACTGATCAGCACATTAATATACAAGGTATTTTTATTTATTTTTAAAGTCTGTGCATGGAAACTGTGTTGCGTTTGTGGTTTGGTTTTGTTTTTTAACTAAAGTGTAAAAAAGTGCTTTGTTTCTTCTCCCTCCAGTTTTTAAATGTTCCCATGTTCAGAAATGTGTCATTAAAGTGCCTCACGGAAATAGCTGGAGTTAGCGTGAGCCAATATGAAGAGCAGTTTGTAACTCTGTTCACGTTGACAATGATGCAGTTAAAACAGGTAGGAAGTCAAAATGTTTTTATTTTGTAATTATCTTTCAAAGCAGCAGGTCGTTTTTATCTCACAGCTCTGGATGTTTGTAAATGCATGACTGAATTTGAAAAAATGCTTTTACCTATGCATAGTAAATTTGTTAAACAAACCACCTATTTTCTATTCAATGTGTTCTTTACATCCAGAGAATTGAATTGCCTTGTGGTAATAGGTTTTTTTGTTTTTTTTTAATCTGAATCTGTCAAGTTTAGAATGTGACTTATTTCTAAATATGTTGAATGAACTAGATTTCACTTGACCTACCAGGAATTATGTGAGTTAGCTTCATTTTAAATTTCTTGTCTGTGTAGTAAAACTTTATGAACTTTGAAATAAACTTGGGTGTGAAAATATAGATTTATTTATTATATTTATGTAGATGCTGCCTTTGAACACAAACATCCGTCTCGCATATTCAAATGGAAAAGATGATGAGCAGAATTTCATTCAAAATCTCAGTTTGTTTCTCTGTACATTTTTGAAAGAGCACGGACAGCTTATAGAAAAAAGGCTAAACCTGAGAGAAACTCTAATGGAGGTCTGTAACAAAAAAACTGGCTATTTTTTTACTGTAATTCTTGCTTAGATTTGCCAGATAATGCATTGATTTAATTATGCAGTAGTAATAGAGATCTCTGAATTCCTCATGTTCTTTAAATGAATACAGTACACTGTTTAGTAAAAAATATACAAAAGCTTGTTTGTACATGTCTTTCTGCTCACTGTTTTAACTGTGGATAATTGCTTTTAATTAATGCTAGATTCATTGAACAATTTGGTGGGCTTATCTTCTACCCCGTCATTTTATCATTCTATTTACTGCTTCATAGATGTAAAACGATCACACAATTGCTGGGGTTTTTTTTTTTTTTGAATCATTGCATGTAAGCATACACTCTGTGGCTGATGGCCTTAGTTTAGCAACTACTCCACTTCATCTCAATGAGCTGCTCTGAGTGCCAAGTGCCTGTTTAACCCTGCAAGTGAAAACATTGCCTTTCAGCAGGAACAGCAATGTTTTCATTGCAGGGTCAACCCGCTTTAGGGAGGTAGCCACTACAGGCGCTTCTGCAGCCTTTCATAGGCTACTGTAGTAGCTCAGGTGACTTTTGTAGGGAGAGTTTGGCACAGCGCAGTGTTTTGCATCGCATGCTCACTAGACTCTCAATGCTTGCCTTTGAGGAAGCATTAGATTGGCTGAGATTGAGACTGATGATCTCAGCCAGCGAGGCGGTATGCCAGCATTATGACCTGCCTGCCGTGGGATGTAAGGTAAGTTAGGTGAAGGTGGAATAAATCTTTTTTTTTTTTTTTTTTTTCTTTTAATGTTATAGTGCTCCTTTACTTTTTCAGAAGATGATTTTAGTGGCAGCTCTTAAAAGGGATATGCATCACCTGGCAATTGTTTTTTTTATATTTTTTTAAAACAAATTTCCAAGCCTAAATAAAAAAAGTATGTAATGTTTATAAAGTTGGCCAGATTGCATTGTTGGACACGGCTCTCAGCTAGGGGACTTTTTCAACCTCCCGTCCTCCCTTTTACCCACCCATCTCAGTTTCAGATCAGTCCTCTGACAGAAACAGGGTATCATTATGCAACAGTAGGAGAGAGAAACCTGACACCGGAGCCTGCTCTGCATGAATCACACTGATCAGACTCCCTCTCTTCTCCTGTCAGGATGTTGCAAGGTGAAGATGTCTTCCATCTGCACATGTGTAAATCTGTCAGGCTTGCCCTATGCAATTTTCCAGCATTCCTAGGGATAGCACACTGATTAGATCAGTGTTCCCTCTAGTGTGAGTGTGGTAAGCAGAAGCCAATAAATATGGGGGGGGGGAGGAGAGGGAGAGACATTTGCATGCTTTTTTCAGCTTGCAGAGTGAGGCAACTGTCTTATTGAAAGCCAATTCGTTTTGAATCCGTTGTCTCAAAGTGATGCATGTCCCTTTAATTATGCACTTGATATCTCTATTATAAGGTATTTAAATACAGCCACCAAACACCTGAATGCTACATTTTTTTTTTTGTGTGTGCGAAAACTGCATACATGTAAAACTAAATACTAGCCAAATTGTTAATATATACATTATTTATAGATTTTTTTTTTATTCCTTTTTTTTTTACTCCCTGCAGAGCTATTAAAACACTTCTTTTTGCATGGCAGGGTTAGCTTTTTTTTTACTCGGTTCACATAGATGGTGAAGAGGTTTTTTTAATGGCAATACGTGCATTCCTGAATTAGAATCTGAGTTGGGGCTGAAAAGTCTACAATATGCTAAATAAATCATATTTAAAACTAATTTACTAAAATGTTATGTGAAATCTACAAAAGAAGAAGATGCAAAATATCTGACATGTATGCCCTCAATCCCCCTCTCTAGGCTCTTCATTACATGTTGCTGGTTTCTGAGGTGGAAGAAACCGAAATCTTTAAAATATGCCTTGAGTATTGGAACCATCTGGCAGCTGAACTCTATAGAGAGAGCCCATTTTCAACATCTACATCGCCACTACTTTCTGGTAGTCAGCATTTCGATGTTCCACCAAGGAGGCAACTATACTTACCTGTTTTGTCAAAGGTACTTTGTTTCCTGCATAAAATTTTGGCATACTTTGATTACAGCCGCTCTGTCATGTGTTCCTTTCTCTATCCCCTTTATACCTTAATGTTCCCCTTTTTGTTACTTCCCTGTATTTATATTAGTTTTTTTTCCTGGCGCTGAATCTCAATATCCGGGTGCTTATATTTTGTTTGTTACATTTGAGATTCTTTTGACTGATTTGGGGTAAATTGACTTGGCAACTGAAATTAACATTTTGACAATTTGCGGAGCTTAAGCAGAGCTCACACTCCATGAGAAAAGGTATAACTAATAAAAAATGTTTAAAAAAATTACGGTGAATTACAATAAACAGAGAACTAAATATGAATTTAACCCCTTAAGGACTGAGGCAGTTGTACAAGTTGTGATCAAAACGTAAATAAAACCTTGAATTTGCGTTATGTCTGTTCAGGCGTAATTCACCTCTTTTATATTATGTCACAGTTAGAATGTCACATAGAACTAAAAAAATTTTTACAATTATTTTTCCCCATTTTTCTAATTTTATTAATATTAAATAGTTTCATACCTATATATTTGATGTTTAATGAAAGCCCTGTTTCCCCTGAATAAAATGATATAACAAGTGTGGGTGCACATATGAGGCGAGGCGAATTATGCCTGCACAGACATATAGCGCATATTCCAGTTTTTGTTCACGTTTTGATCACAACGTGTACATTTGGCTGCGTCCTTAAGGGGTTAAGAGAATTATTTTGTTTCTTTGCATATAGTATAATCTATAACAATCTTCATTCTTAATATTTCCAAGGTGCGTTTGTTGATGGTCAGCCGAATGGCAAAACCGGAGGAAGTACTTGTTGTAGAGAATGATCAGGGTGAAGTTGTTCGAGAATTTATGAAGGATACGGATTCCATTAATTTATACAAGAATATGAGAGAAACATTAGGTAATATTTCATTTTTAATGTTCATTTGCAATCACTATCTACACGACAGAAAAATATCCTTTTGCAAACATTTAAAAAATGTTATTGTTTTAATTCTTTGTTTTAAAAAAGTCTGTTTTATGTGTTTCTGCTAGAATTACTTAAAGGATCACTATAGGGTCAGGAACGCAAACACCATCTGGCCCCCCTTGCAGCACTAAATATAGTAAAATCTTACCTGTATTGCAGTCTGCTGGTGACTCTGCCTCTGATTTGCCTGCCTGACTGACATCAGAAGTGATTCAGCCAATCTCCATGCTTTCCCATAGGATTGGCTGAAATTGTCAAGGAGGCAGGTAAGGGGCAGAACCAAACACAACCGTGGCCAATCAGCATCTCCTCAGAGATGCATTGAATCAATGCATATTTATAAGGCAAGTTCAGTGTCCCTATGCAGAGGGTGGAGATACTGAATGTATCTCCCAGAAAGTACCTCTTGTAGCCATCTGAGGAGTGGCAAGTGGAGGTATCCCTAGGCTGTAATGTAAACACTGCACTTTCTCTGAAAAGACAGTGTTTACAGCAAAGAGCCTGAAGGGAATAATTCTACTCACCAGAACAAATACAATAAACCATAATGGTTCTGGTGATTAGTGTCCCTTTAAACATTCAGCCACATTTTTTTTCTTTATCACTCTTGCGTGCATGTGCTTGGGTTTGTGTGTTTTTTGTTTTTTAGGAATCCAATTACCTATACTAGAAAACAAAATTAGGCACTTCTTATAATTTCTTAAAGATGATAACTGTTCTTGTCTTAATAAGCATGCTCGGTTTTGTTTATATTTGGTAAATGGTTGCCTTTGTACAAATATTCCAACTAGGCACAGGCATTGAATTTACACATATAACATGTAAAGTTATTTTCTCCAGAAAACTGTGGCTAGTTTTTTTAAAACCTCTTCTGAAAATCCTTTATATATAATCAAGAACTTTGTTTATCTCATTTTGCTGCTCTCATTTAATGGGGAGGTGGGTGGGGTTGTATTATTGGGTGAATTCAAATCTTTGCGGTGTTTCATACCAGGAGTAGATTCATTAAAGGAACACAAAACTGTATTCCTAAATGTAATGGTCTACCCTCCTCCCCAGGTGCACCGCACCCAGGCCAATTCAGTGAGATGAGTCTGAGTGCCTAGAATGTCTCTTTAATTAATTGCATTATTTAAACCTACCCCAAATGAAGGATTTGTTTTATTTTGTGTTTTCTCTCCAATTGTTTTTTCTTTTGTAGTGTATCTTACCCACTTGGATTATGCTGACACTGAGAGAATAATGACAGAAAAACTTCACAATCAAGTCAATGGATCAGAGTGGTCATGGAAAAATCTAAATACCTTATGTTGGGCAATAGGGTCAATCAGTGGAGCGATGCATGAGGAAGATGAAAAGCGGTTTCTAGTTACAGTTATTAAGGTAAGCAATTAGGAAATCTTAAGATACTTATTTTGTGATCTTGTAACGTATGTAGTGTGCAGATGTGTTCAGTTTGCAGGAAAGCAATGCAAAACCAAATGTTTAATGCAGGGCTTTTAAAAAAAACAAAAAAAAAACATGATTTGACCTTTAAGCACCCTGACCTTTTCACATGTGCATTCTAAAAAGTAAAATGTAACCTTTTCAGGATCTTCTTGGACTCTGTGAGCAAAAGCGTGGCAAGGACAATAAAGCAATCATTGCATCAAACATTATGTATATTGTCGGCCAATACCCAAGATTTTTGAGAGCTCACTGGAAATTTCTGAAGACCGTCGTTAACAAGTTGTTTGAATTCATGCATGGTAAATATATTCAATTTTTTTTTTTTAAGTTTTGTTTGTCCTATAAAAGTTGAAAGATTTACTGTATTGTTGCATACCTATAAAGTTTTATGTTGATGAATATATTTTCTCCTGCAAATTTTCAAGCATTCTAACCCTACTTTTTAGAGACCCATGATGGTGTACAAGACATGGCCTGTGATACTTTCATCAAGATCGCACAAAAATGTCGAAGGCATTTTGTACAAGTGCAAGTTGGGGAAGTTATGCCTTTCATTGATGAGATCCTGAACAACATAAACACCATAATTTGTGATCTTCAACCGCAGCAGGTAGGTCTGTTTTTCTCCACCTCAAGTGTAACTAAAATTGTATTTAAACTGTTTTGCTGTGGGTTGGAATTTCAATAATATGCGTTTAAGTTTTGGGGGGGTGGGAGAGGGTTGTTTGGTTTTTTTCTTTTTTTTTTTGCTGTCACTTTTACACTCCCATCCTTCTAAAATTATGAAAATCTGAGGTGACAGTGCAGCATGGAATAAAAAAAAAAAACTGTTAAGACTGTGATAGTGCCTTCTTTTAGAAATGGTTTATTTCTCAAAATGTCTTGCGAAGCACATTATTTCCATGCAAGTTATATGCAGTGTTAACAAGATATCTTTGTGTTTTAGGTTCACACGTTTTATGAAGCAGTTGGGTATATGATCGGAGCTCAGACAGACCAAACTGTACAAGAACACCTGATAGAAAAGTATATGTTGCTCCCCAATCAAGTATGGGATAGTATTATTCAACAGGCAACAAAGGTGGGTTTACACACTATCTACATCTTAAAAAAGAACATTATGTTTACTCATATTGATGTTTGACTTCTTTTTTGGTCAAGGTTTGTCAATTCCTATGAAATGGGAACATGTAGAACGGATACATTAACTAGCTAAAGGGTTACTCCAACCCCCATGACCACTTCAGTTCATTGAAGTGGCCATGGTCTTGGAGTCTATGTGCAGTGTTTATGCTTGAAACCCTGCATATACAGTTATTTTAAATTGTGTGCTGGTAAACTATTCCTGGCTACCTATTGTCAATTCTGATAGTATTTTATGTCTGTCAGAATGTCTACCCTCCCCCTCCCATTGTGTGCTCCTTTTATTGTTTGCAGGTTTTACTGCATATAGATACTACTTATGTTTCCCAATAAGACATATTACACAGGAAAGGTCCCAATCCAGTGTGTTGGAGTAACCCTTTAAAACTGAATTTGTTATATCATACATTTTCGATATTGCAGTTGGAGTATAAATGTGTTCAGGGAAACTGCATGTTGCAAGGATTTAACTGTTGCAGCAATGAAACATTGCTTACTCATTAGCAGCTGTAATGCAATTATGTAAGAGACGTGAAAATGGCCGCAGATTGTGAATTAAATTTGCATGTGCTGAATTCAAAAGGTAAAAAGCTGGGCAATTGAATAGTAGTCTCCAAACTGTTTCAACCTATTTATATCGCAATAAAGTCTGAAATCTGGGCAGTAAGTGCACACGAATGGTTACGAATGCACACAGTAATTAATAGAGAAATTCACACTAAGAGGAAGTTAAAATATGATCAAAGTCCCAGAAAATATATTTATTTGTTCCTAAAGGAGCAGCAAAGAAAACTGAAGATTAGTTGGGGGTCATCTCCTTTATAGACTGTGCTTTATGTTGGTTGGTTACTGTTCTACATTGGCATTTCAAGTTTTTTTTTTTTTTGTAACCCCAATCTTTATTAACAGTGTTGTTGCTGGAGTAGTAAAGAAGGCAGAATTAAATACATAGTTTGTTAGCCTTATGGTGACTCCCGTGTCTCTAAAATTTTACCAAGTGAATCCTTGCAGGACGTTTACTGAAGTATTCGATTACATATTTGCACAGCTACTATTTTCGCTTTTGTTTTATTTGATTGGTCAAGTTGCAAAAATAATTATTGCATATATTACCTGTTGGCACATCTGTCCTAGGTAATCACCAGATAACCTGCCATGGTCTTAGTTTTATCCCGACCAGGCCACACACTTAACCCCTTAAGGACACAACTTCTGGAATAAAAGGGAATCATGACGGAATATTTCCGTCATGTGCTCTTAAGGGGTTAGAGTACTTAGTACTTGGGGGAACTCTTTAGAGACATTCAAAGGAGTCTGCTCTTTATTAAACAGAATACAAGTGTTATAAACACGCAGTAAACCACTTAAGTATCAAAAAAGTGCGTGGGATGAAGACTATCTTGGTGCAGCTATCTGTATACATAATTATTTTCTTCCAGTAGAATATGGTCTAGTCCTAAACTAAATTAAAATGTTTATTTTTAATAAAATTCTTATTACTGTTCCTTTTAGAATGTCGACATACTGAAAGATCCAGAAACAGTCAAGCAGCTGGGCAGCATATTAAAGACAAATGTAAGAGCATGCAAAGCTGTTGGTCACCCTTTTGTAATCCAACTTGGAAGAATTTACTTGGATATGCTAAATGTGTACAAGTGCCTCAGTGAAAACATTTCTGCAGCTATTCAGGCAAATGGTATGTATCCCTTTTAATGTTCCTGTCAAAGTATTTTAAATGCGTTTGCAGAAGGATGAAACAGTGTATTTTTCTTTTAGGGGAAATGGTCACAAAGCAACCACTGATAAGAAGTATGAGAACTGTTAAAAGGGAAACTTTAAAACTAATTTCAGGATGGGTCAGCAGATCGAACGATCCACAAATGGTGAGTCTGTTTTTTCCCTTAATTTTTTTTTTTTTCAATTAAATATTTTATTAAAATGTATTGCAAATGTTTACGATTTATTTTTGTTTTAATAAATTTTTTTGCTTTTCGCCAGGTCGCTGAAAACTTTGTCCCACCTCTGCTGGATGCAGTTCTAATTGATTACCAGAGAAATGTGCCTGCTGCCAGAGAACCTGAAGTACTTAGCACAATGGCTACTATTGTAAACAAGCTCGGGGGCCATATTACAGCTGAAATACCTCAAATATTTGATGCTGTTTTTGAATGCACATTAAACATGATAAACAAGGTACATATTTCTTACATGGTTTGGATTGGAATCTTTCATACAGACTTGAAACCTTTTCTGTTGTGTTCTGGAGAGAGGTTGTAAACAGACTTGAGGTACTTCTCCAAATTTCCCTTATTTGCTGCAGTTTTAACTCTTCTATAGTGACCACAATCCCAAATCTCAGGGATTTCTCTGTATGTAGATTGGTATCCTAGTAGAAATATTTCGAGACATGATTGAAACTATGATAGAGCATAATTTGCCTTGGCTTACTGAATAATTCAGGATATTTTATGAAGGTGTCTGCTAGTTAAACAGCTATATCAATCTTGACTGATCTTGGGAATAATAATCTTATCTGTTCAAAAATATAATGGAGGACATTTTAAGTGCTGGATGTTTGCTATAAATGTCAATTAAAATTACTTTTCTGGATCGCAGAATTTTTTTTTTTTTTTTTTTTGTTTTTTTTTAATACTTGGATAAAGTTTTTTACACTTAGTATCGCTCTCCCCACAGGACTTTGAAGAGTATCCAGAGCACAGGACAAACTTTTTCTTACTTCTTCAAGCTGTTAATTCCCATTGTTTTCCAGCATTTTTGGCTATTCCTCCAGCACAGTTTAAATTGGTTTTGGATTCTATCATTTGGGCTTTCAAGCACACAATGAGAAATGTTGCAGACACAGGTAACAAACTACATTTTGGATATTAATTTGATTGTCTCTTGCGGGTATTTTTTCTTGCCGTTGCGATCTTGTCAATTTTGTGTACCATTTGCAAACACTGAAATTCAGAAAAAAATTTCTCCCCCTACAGGCCTTCAGATTTTGTACACGTTATTACAGAACGTTGCCCAAGAAGAAGCTGCAGCACAGAGCTTTTATCAAACCTATTTCTGTGACATACTTCAACACATCTTTTCTGTTGTGACAGATACCTCACACACTGCTGGTATGTTTTATTTCATTTTCCTGTTAATCTCTTTAGAAATTGGGACATTGCATTGTGAAGAAAACATTAATTTGACAATATATTGGCATATCTTGTAGCAATAACATTTTATATCTATTTTTTTTATTAAAGGGGCATTATAGGCACCCAGACCACTTCTCATTGAAGTGATCTGGGTGCACTGACCCTGTCACCTTAACCCTGCAGTCTAATCTTGGGTATAAGCCTGCCTCTAATAGTGACTACTAGGCAGTCACTATAGGCTCTTCCTGCAGTTTCTTGGAGTTTGACTCCATGAAATGACGCTGGACATCTTAATGCTTTCCACAAGGACATCCAGTGTCTTAAAGTCCCCCAATGGAAAGCATTGCGAAAGGCCTAATGCACGTATTTCATGCATATGATGTACCCCCTCAAAGACAACTAGTGCGAAAGAACCTCGGGACTGGAATAAGATAAGGTGATTGTGGGGGGTGGGTTCAGCATTGTTTTTCTTAAACATGATCTAAAGTGACAGCTATTTGTTACTGTGGTTAATGCTTAAGCAACAAGCTCCAGTTTGGGGTATATCAAAAGTTCCAAATGGTTACAAATTTGGTAACGTTAATGCAGACTGTTATTGTATATTAGTTATAATTGCTCATCAGTATTAAAATCTTTTCTACATTTACCTAAATTTTGTGTTCTCTTTTGTAGGTTTAACCATGCATGCTTCAATTCTAGCATACATGTTTAATTTAGTGGAAGAAGGAAAGATAAATACACCCTTGAATCCAGCAAGTCCTCTTAGCAACCAGTTATTTATTCAGGAATATGTGGCAAATCTCCTAAAGTCAGCCTTTCCTCACCTGCAAGAGTAAGTAGATCATTCTGTAAAGTTTCCATATGGTAAATTACTTAAATAAATTACTTAACTAAAAAACAGTGGAAAAAGAGAAAAAAAAATTTTAATATATGTACTTTTCTTTTTTTTTTTTTTTTTATTTTATTTATTTTTTTTTTTTTAGTGCTCAGGTAAAACTGTTTGTGACTGGCCTCTTCAGTTTAAACCAAGATATTCCAGCATTCAAAGAACATCTTAGGGATTTCCTCGTACAAATAAAGGTATGTTATTTATTTTATTTATTTACTATCGTTATCAATCTGTGTCCCTATTGAATCAAACTATGTGTCAGTATGAGCACTTGTAGGTACTTTGTCGCTCTCCCTTCCAATGTGGTTTATAATTGTAGCAATGTAAAAAGTGGTGTTTTCTCATTTGTGTCCAAAAATAGAACCCACTGCACATTAGCTGAAAGTCATTTGGCTGCTATTACATAATTTGGCAGTACTCCCTCATCTTACCTATGTGATGGAATTCACTGTAGCTGGGTAACAAACTGCATACTCCAAAAAGCCTCACTTCACTATTCGAATAAGAGGGATCTGAATGGAATATAGTCTGGAGAGTCCATGAGGCACCCTCCTTGGGGCGATGTATATATCTCATGCTGAAATGTAGTGCACTCAGGGGATTTGTTGCAATTTTTCTCCAGACCGAATACAGGCCTTTTTATTTATTTTTTTTAAATCTTTTATTTAGGAATATGCCGGGGAAGACACATCAGATCTTTTCTTGGAAGAAAGAGAAACTGCTCTCCGACAAGCGCAAGAGGAAAAACACAAACTTCAGATGTCTGTTCCTGGCATACTCAATCCACATGAAATTCCTGAAGAAATGTGTGATTAGATTTTAGAAGCCAAGTTATGCTGTTGATTTCCCTCCTCCTTCTGAACATAAATTTTGTTCAGGAAAAACATCACTTTGATTATCGTTGACCAAAATGATGCCAATTTGTAAATTATTATGTCACCTAGTGGCCCTTTTTTCTTATTATGCGTTTTTTGTATAAGAAATTTTCTGTGAAATATCCTACAATTGTTTCAAAGCTTTGGTCATCCTTAGGTTTGCATGATATTAAGGATATGTGTGTAAATATATGTTTATATATTTACACATATTCATTTTTTTTCTGCTCTCCTTTTAATTCTTTCATGCCCATTTTGTGGCTTTGGGGTGAGGGCAAGTAAATTGATCTAGAACAACCCAAGAACCTATATTTGTTATGTCTGTTGCAAGAGCAATTCCTCACCCTTCTGAACATACAATTTTTAATTAAGTGAAGTTTTTTGTTTTTTTTTTCTCCTAGTTTATATTGCAGCCTAGATGGAATTTCAGCAATTATAACAAATTTGACACTGCTGCATTCTCCGAACAATTTTTTTTGTTTTGGTTTTTGGTTGAGGTGGGCAATACTACATACATACTGCAAGTTGGAAAGAAAAAAATTTTGCAGCAAGATCATGTGCATATCATCCCATTGTAAAGCAATTTCAGAAAATATGGGAACACAGTACAGTTAGTTATTTTTACACAGTTTTTGTTTTTTTGTGTGTGTGCTGTCGCTATGTCGACAACAGCTTTTTGTTTTCCTCAATGAGGAGTGTTGCTCATTTGTGAGCCTTCATTAACGAGAAGTGAAATGGTTAAAAAAAAAATATTTATCCTGTTAGATTAGGCTTGCATCTTTTTAACAACTCATACAATTCTGGCTTTTGAGATGACTTGTACTAATTTACATTGTTTACCATGCTGTAGTGCTTTAAGAACACTACTACTTAAAAAGCAAAATAAACTTGGTTTACATTTATCTCTCGCTTATTCCTAAAAATCAAAAAAATTTTGTTGTGAAATGATTTTCATTGGCCTTAATGTCTGTAAGTTTCAGTAAGGAAACATTAAACTACAGGGTTGGAGGGGGAATTCTAAATAAAGGAAACCTTAAACTGCATTGTTGGGGGTAATATTAAAAGTACAACTATGCAGTGCATATTGCAGGTAGGGCTCAAACCTTGCTTCATTTTGTTTAAATCAAAATCATTTTGATCCACATCAAAACTAATAATTTATCCCGGGATTTATATGTGAATTCTTATTCAATGCTTAAGACTCCACATGCAAATCCCAGCTCGATTGATTCCTTTGGGTGTGGATTAACACATATTGCAGGTAGGGCTCAAACCTTGCTTCATTTTGTTTAAATCAAAATCATTTTGATCCACATCAAAACTAATAATTTATCCCGGGATTTATATGTGAATTCTTATTCAATGCTTAAGACTCCACATGCAAATCCCAGCTCGATTGATTCCTTTGGGTGTGGATTAACACATTATGGACCGAGGAAATTGTCCATGGTGTTAACTAAAATAAATCCTAGCATTTGAGCTGTATGTCTGTTTAACCATTATTTACCTTTCATATTTAAGAAACACTGTACTGTCCGAAATACAAGCATGTATTCCTGACACTATTGGGCTGTTTAGGTCCCCCTGCCCCGTCAGCCCAGTGAAATTATGATTTTACTTGCTTTTTTTTTTTTTTCCACCACGTGTCAATGCAGCTGGCCCTTTCTGACTTTGCCTCTGTGACTGAGATAATCTCTGCCAATCCAATGCTTCCCCATAGGAAAGCTGTGGGAGGGTATTGCACATGCGCAACTTAACACTGCGCTGCCCTCAAATTAAAATGTAACTTTTAATATAGAAATAGATTAAAACAAATTGTATGGTATAAAGATCAAAATAAATATATATAATAAAATAAAATACTGTAGGATCAATTATTTAAAGCGTGATTAGCGATAGTAAACCAAGGAGGTCCTGTTCAAAAGTTTTCAGGACAAATCTTCAAATAATATGCAGAAAACCATATAGGTTTTCAAATGCATAGAAATGTGTGTCTCAAATAAGTTGACACAGTGGAAATACACAGTCCATACAATATTAAATAGAAATTGATACATACAATATTAAATAGAAATTGATACATACATAGTGCCAGTTGGATCCAAAACCGGCACTGGATAAAATTTAGTGTAAGAAAAAATTAATTCCTCACTAAGTAGCCAGCTCATACAGAGGGGGTAGGGATTAATACGAAAATATAACAAGAGCATGTGCTTTAAAAACCTCCCTCTTGTATAGCTGGATTAGGGCTAAATGTCGAAGTATGAAGAATATAAAGTCTAATGCCCGTCTGAACAGACGGCGATACTATGGTCGATGTGTTTAGAAAGAGCCCTTTCCCCTGACGTGCGCGTTTCGCCCACAGCTCATCAGAAGGGAGAAAGGCCCTTCTGATGAGCTGTGGGCGAAACGCGCGCGTCAGGGGAAAGGGCTCTTTCTAAACACATCGACCATAGTATCGCCGTCTGTTCAGACGGGCATTAGACTTTATATTCTTCATACTTCGACATTTAGCCCTAATCCAGCTATACAAGAGGGAGGTTTTTAAAGCACATGCTCTTGTTATATTTTCGTATTAATCCCTACCCCCTCTGTATGAGCTGGCTACTTAGTGAGGAATTAATTTTTTCTTACACTAAATTTTATCCAGTGCCGGTTTTGGATCCAACTGGCACTATGTATGTATCAATTTCTATTTAATATTGTATGTATCAATTTCTATTTAATATTGTATGGACTGTGTATTTCCACTGTGTCAACTTATTTGAGACACACATTTCTATGCATTTGAAAACCTATATGGTTGTCTGCATATTATTTGGAGATTTGTCCTGAAAACTTTTGAACAGGACCTCCTTGGTTTACTATCGCTAATCACGCTTTAAATAATTGATCCTACAGTATTTTATTTTATTATATATATTTATTTTGATCTTTATACCATACAATTTGTTTTAATCTATTTCTATATTAAAAGTTACATTTTAATTTGAGGGCACTCACTTGTTCTCCTTGTCTACTTTCACTACTGTTGTAGTCTATATAGGGTTAATCCCTTCTATGAGTGTATCCTTTTTGCTTCCTATTTTCTTCAATTTCTATAGTGTATTAACACTGCGCTGCTTTCAGCATCTCCTCAAATAGATGCATTGAATCACTGCATCTCTGTAAGGAATGTTCATTGCCACCATGCAGAGTGTCTAGATGCTCAAAACTAGTGCTACACACTGTACAGCACTGGACTAGGAAGCTCCTAGTGGCCTAGAGATGTTCCTAGGCACCAATGTAAATGTACTGCCTTTTCTCTATGAAGGCAATGTTTACATTAAAATGCCTGCATGTGCTGTCAAGCAGATCCTCCAATATATGTGAAAAAATATTCTAAATATATTTTGATATTGAGATATATACAGTTGTGCTCAAAAGTTTGCATACTGAGGCGGAGCTAAGAGTCTGAACTGAATGGACGACAATTTTCAGAGCTCCTGACACTTGGTGACTAATCCACACTAATCTGAAGTCCCACAGACCATTGTGAGGATATTTATGGGGTGATGAATACTAAATTTTATAAAAATTATCAAATTAATAATTTTATTATATCAACATTTATATATTGGCACCGATTCCCTGTTTTTAAAGCTGAGCATTACCCACTATTTTTAATTCTCATTGATCCTGGAGTACTTTTTATTAGATTTTTATTTCACACATTCACAAACTAATTATAAAAATATAATTTATTGTGACAACTTGTAAAGTGCATTATAATCAGTAAATATGTAGGTGTAGCATAAGTGGACAATATGGCAGTGATTTAACACAATTTATAGATCGTTCAAGCTATCAACATTATATCGACGTATGCAGTTTTCAACAAGATTTATGACAGAACAGTGCACTTTGAAATCAGCTTGCTCAACATTCCTAAACACAGAACACTGGAGGACTGGGGAAAGGCTTTTGTTTGTGCGTTTTCCCCTCTATGGGGCTTACCTAACATATTACACTAATGCTGTTCGTATACCAAATGAACTGCCGAACGGACAGACCACCCAGAACAGTTTTGTTGCTTATTAACCTTATTGACGTCGCTAACTGCAACATTCTAAGTGGGCTGGGTGGCCGCCATCCGGATGTGCAAACACGTGGCCATCTTTAGCCGTGAACACATACAGCGGTGTTTGGTCGTCGAGTGCATGAATAATCGGTGTCTGGAAATTGAGTTTCTATAGTGCTTGACTCTATTATCTCCCAGTTAGAGGAGGGATTAACCTATTATGTATGGGAGTGTCCTGGATCTGAGAGCCAATGTGATTGTGTATTTGTTTCTACTGTGGTATACGCTCAGGTCCAGAGGGAGTACCCCTTTGCATGGGGACCTGCATATAAGGCCAGTTGTGACTACCATTAAACAGTTCCTCTTCACCCTCCACATAGAGCCTCGTCTCGTGTGGAGAGGACAGCTATATTCCCTCTGAGGATTGCTATATCACTGTACTCCCCTGAGATTATAATCACTTGCTCTTTTAAGAGTATATTGCTACACTCTCTTTGAGGAGAGGTCTACCCACTGGATCCTGGTCTTGGGTCCAGGGTGGGTGGAGGACAGTAAGACTCCAACCAAGCTGTAATACTGGAAGTGGGGATTTGGAAGTGCTTGGAGTACTCGGTGAGCTCTAGGAACATCGATTGGCAGTAGCACCCGGTCGGGGTGCCAGGCGGTCCACCACACCTATTATCCAAACTGCCACAGGATCCTCTCGCTGCCACTTTAGTTAGATTACTTTGCATGGGCCAACTGTTCATAGTAGCTCTCACGTTTAACCTAAACAGTGATATGTTACTTCCCATAAAAAGACCTGGTCCGACCATTTTTATCCTATATTTTCCTTAGGTGCTCCTGTAAATCTCATCTGGCCTATTTCAAGTCTCAGTTCTACACAAACTAGGTACGTTTCCCTCGAAGCCAGTACAGTCTGAACCCCCACCTCATCGCTGGTAGGGCTAGTACAACTAGCTGTCTATTTAGAATTAATGGCCTTAACAAATCATATTCTTATGGGGATTTGTCCGTCGTACTAAAGGCTAGAGACCCCCAGACTTAGTAGAAAACTCACTATTCTTAAATTTGTACTCGCCTTCGGACTATATCCTGTGACGTAATTTGGTCCACTTCACCTCACCATAGTGAAGAATTGGATCTTTACTTGCACAAATTGGTGGACCTAGGACACAAATACGGGGGTTTCGCTTTCTATGACTGCCACAAATCTTTTTCGGCCAAAGCAGCAGCATCCCTGGCACAAATCAACTTTCACACCAATTAGAGTAGGCTTGACAATTAACTATTCTGTCGCCTCTTCGCTGCACTCAAACCCCCCTCTTGTGCCATATGCGCCTCCATCTGCCATTCCACCAACTTGTTGATCTGCAACAATTTCAATTCAGGCGGATTTAGCTCGTACAGATTGCTGCACATCTGCTCAATTTGTTATACACACCAAAACCATGTGCCCTAACTGTCTGTATCCAAAGTTATGACTGACCGAAGTTAGTATAGACAACCTGGCTTACTATCTCCAGGCATATCCTTCCCGCTACTTAGTTGACTTCTTGGTGCAGGGTTTCACCAAAGGTTTCCACACCGGCCTTGTTGCAATCCCCTCTGGCACACACAAACACGAATGCCCTAATCTACAGTCAGCAATACTTGACCCCCTCAACATTGACAAATTAATCAAAAAGGAATTCGACAATGTGTTCATACTGGGACCTTTTTCTCAACCACCTTTTTCTTGCTGGTGTACCAACCCAGTAGGTATTGCCACAGGAAAATTCTCAAATAAAAAAACTTCTTATCAATCTATCGGCCCCACATTCCTTGTCTGCTCCAAGTCTTAACT